ACTATTTCATCCATGATAAAATAGAAATTTTACTATCCTCAGGAAGCTTATAATCCAATGGAAGATAATGTATTATGAATATATATTGTCCACTCATAAATTTATAATTTAAGTTGAAAGAGATGAGCAGTAATACAGCATAATAGGAAGACTTATTTGAGTTGTCAGAAGACTGATTATAAAAGGAAAATAAAAAGTTGGATATTGGAGAGCTAAAAAGACAAAAAGGGATCACTAAGGTATCGAGCCAGAAGGAGCTGTCACTCCTAAGCCTGAAAGAACAAAGGAAAGAGGTTAGAATTTAAACATTTTTGCATCTGGAATTCAAAGTTCTGAAGAGGAGAACTGCTGGTATTTCTCAAGAGGCATAATGATGCTGGTCCTGAAAAAATTTTAAAACATCAAGCTAGAAACTAACCACTGCAACTGATCAACTGCTACTGCTATAATGAAGAAGCCTGGCTGAATTCATGCTGACAGGGTAGAAAACAGGAAGTCCCTCAAAATTGCCAGCTACCTGAGGAGAAAGCAGAGCTGGAAAACTCAGGAGAGAATGATGTTCTTTGTCTTAGATGTCTTTAGTTATGGTGTGACTTTCTTTTTTTTTTTTTTTTTGGTACTAGGGATTAAACCCAGGGATGCTTAAACACAGTTACAAGCTATTTATTTGGTAACTGATAAGGTGTCCAAGCCATGATAAAGGAAAATAAAATTTAAAGCTTTGTTTTTATTGTGTACCAAATTACCTCTAAACACAGCATTTTAAAACAAACACTAATTCTTTCATGGTTGCTGGGGTCCAGGAATCCAGAACAGTTTAGGTGAGTATTTTTCAACTAACTTGAGTCTCTGGTGGAGTTGTATGTAGTCCATCATATTGGTGCAGCTATGATCATTTCATGACTTGACTGGGGCCTGAGGATCAGCTTCCAGGATTACCCATATCATTATAGGCAGGAAGCTTTAGTATCACTACATGGGCCTCTTGGTAGGGCTGCTCACGCCATGGTAGCTGTTGCTTTCAGAGCAATTGATGCAAAAAAGTAGAGGCATGACCAAGAAGGAAACCACAGTGTCTTACAGTCTTATAAGTGGTCTACCATCACTTCTGCTTCATGCTATTGGTCATGTTAAACAACTCTGGAGCAATGTGAGGGGAGGCTACACAAGGATGTGAATACCAGGAGGCAGTGATTATTGGAGCCCATCTTGGAAGCTGGCTATTACAGATGGCTATATAAAACTCTGTTACCTCCACTAAATTAACAACGTGAAGAATGGCTTATGTGTTTCAGAGTACTGCTGGTCTTTTGGATCCATGGTGAGGAAGGTTCCTCAGTTCCTCTCCCATACCCCCTGGCTCATTCTCGAGTAGATCAGTTGTCATTGGTTGACTACACTGAATACTTTGGTTGGACATGTAGTCCTATTGTGAGCTAGCCATGGGCTATGTGTGTGAGCTGTGAGCATTTGAGCGCATGCTTCCCTGACTGGGCTGTGCAACATGGTTCCCCCCGCTCCCCACACTAGCTCTGCCTTTGATCCCACACAGCACCTGAGATGGGTGTGGCCTTCCAAGATGTCAATCTGCTGACCATAAGACATCACAAAGCTAGACTCAATCCCCTGAAACCTGGTCCCTTGCCTTATTTGGAAAGAACATTCCATTGAACCTCCCTTTGTGAGCTCCCCTGCCCTCTATAAAAATAAAGAATCCAGGTGCAAGCTGTCTCTTTCTAACAGACCCTTAAAGTTGAGAACCATCCCTGATTCCTGCAAGCAAAAGGAATTTCTGTGTGTTGCATGCTTCTTTTACCATTTTCTTAAGTTATTGGTGTAGCCAGCTCTTGTGAACCCAGCTCAGGTTGCCAGCTAGCCAGTGTTAAAAGGTGGCGATGGGGGGAATTCTCCAATAGCTCTTAGTTGATTTTTCCATTTCAAAATTGCCAGCTGAGGAGATAACAGAATTGGAAAATTCAAATGATGATGATATATTCTTTGTATTAGATGTCTTTAGTTATAGGGTGATTTTTTTTAAGCCAATGGTAATTATACAAGTTTGTCTAAATGCAAGTGTATGTTATTAGCAAGGTCTTTGATAATAATAGTTGTGGAAGTTACCCAGGCCAACACTGTTATACCATATCTGGAGCAAGTGATGGCTTCACCCAAGGCATATAATTTTTCCTGGTCATGTGGTAAGAATTCAGCATAGCTCATTGGCCAATTTTATGCTTCTCCAGGAAAATTATTTCATATTAGTGATAAGATGGAGATAATCTTCATTGAAATTTATTTTTTTGTGGTGCAAAAGATCGAACCCAGGGCCTCGCACTTGCTAGGTGAGCGATCTATGGCTGAGCCACAACCCCAGCCCCCTGCTTCATTTTTTAAAAAATATTTATTTTTTAGTTGTAGTTGGACACAGTACTTTTATTTTATTTATTTGTTTTCATGTGGTGCTGAGGATCGAATCCAGGGCCTCATACATACAGTAGAGTTCTGGGCAAGCACTCTACTGCTCAGCCACAACCCCAGCCCAACTGCTTCATTCTTAATTGGTGCAACATGACCGGGGCCTACAACATCATTGCATCCCTGATGTGATGATCAGGTTAAACATGAACTTGGTTTGCTGTCTTAACATCATCTATATGAGAATGTATACTTTAAAATTCTAGCAAATGGGCAGATAATTTAATATTGTCTGGGAATGTGAACTATTTCTGATACTCTTCTCTCATTGGTATGGAAAATAACACATTTTCCAAGTTGACAGTTGCATAGCATATACCTGGAGTCTGACAAACTTGCCCTAGCAGTGTTTACCACATCTGGCATACTAGTTGCAATTGGTGCTACTACTTGATTAAATCTGTGAGAGTTGATGGTATTCTCCACGATTTACCCATTTTCTGTAGGGGTCAAGACTGGCAAGTACAAAGATATGTCAGAGACCAACAACCTTGTATCTTTTAGGTCTCTAATTGTACCATTAATTTCTGCTACCTTCCTCTCCCTAGCCCCTGGAAAATAATAATGATTTTCTCATTTTGTCAAGTTGTGTGTGTGTGTGTGTGGGGGGGTGGAATAGAGATTTCCATTTGGTCTTCTCCACTGTGATTGCTCCTACTTCATAGACCAGAGTCCCCATGGGGGCTTTACTCCAACTTCTAGGTATATCAATTCCCACTGTGCAGTTGAAGACTGAGACAATGACTCTTGTAGGAGAGAAGCCACTGTGGCTCTCATAGGCCCTAACTCTAAAGGAGAAAGTGATGACACTTAGGGCCTCTGAGTATTATCAACTCAGAGCTGTGTATAATAGTCATCAAAAATGTCTGGTTATTCCCTTTCCCCAATACAGTCACCTGAATAAATGGTCATAGGTTTTTGAGAGACTTTTCAGGTGCCTCCATTTGCCATAGTGTTGCATAAGGCCCCTGCCACCTCTTCAGTCAATGAGTTCTGGATCTGAACTTTTACTCAGGTCTGGGATACTTTGCAAGGGATCATGACTTTTTATTGGGACAACTTCCCTGGGTCTCCTCTTCCATACCTTTTTAAAAAAATAGATGTTAATCAATAACCTTATAGAATAACCAACCATTTTTGTTCTAACAACACCTCATTCTCTTGTCTTTACTCCCTACAGGTTGAGCAGTCCCCATGGCTGCTCATGTCTTTATGGTAATGTAGGCTTTCTGAAAGTATAGCATCACTACCAGGCATCTCTTACCTGCCCATGAATATTAATGACACAGTTCTGTGACTACCTCTTCTGCGGTTATTCCAGACCTGCAGAGGAGAGCTAACACTAAATGTTTTAGTGATGCTTTAGGATCACAGATTTTCCATATCAGAGCTTCCAACCTTCCCATAACATGGGCTTGGCTGTGTTCAAACATTTCTGAAGCCCTGTGATGTCCAGGTCTTTAGTTTATTGTTCAATTATGTCGTCCCTTCCATTACTGATGATAATCTTTATAAGCTACCACTGAGACACTTGGTTCCTCTGCCTAGCTATTTACTGCTATGGTTCTCAATAGTTTCTCAGCAATCTGCAAGTCTGGAAAAACTTGAATTTTGGTTTTCTTAGGCATATAATATTGTTATTTAAAAAGAATTTTTATCTTTCTCCCCCCACCAGTGTTTAGACTCATTATGATAATGTCAGAACTTTCAAAACAGAAAGGAGTAGCAGGTATCCCTATCTTATTCCTATTCCTAATCTGTAGATCTGTGGACAGGTCTGTGCCTTTGGAGTTTCATCTTGTCTGTGATCTATTCCTGATTGCCTGTGCTGCAGATTTCAGACAATCACATAGCCAATTATTTTTCAATAAAGCTCTTTGCATTCACACACACACACACACACACACACCTCCTTCTGGTTCTGCTTCTGTGGTTGAACCCTAACAAATACAAATACAATAATATTTGGACAAATTAAGAAGTTTATGTTAAGCATTGAACTTAAATGTTGAAACTTAGAAAGAAAACTTAAAGCGCCAGCTACCTCGTTTTCAATATAATACTTTTACATTTCATATATGAATCTACCATGAGGAAAACTCCTGAAATCTGCTTAAGAAAGATTACTTAAATTCACACACTTTTATTAAGTCCTTCATTACATTATATTACATTAATTACAATCATATAAAGTTTCATGCAAAATAATATTTGACATTTTCATTTTTTCAAATATTTAATTTATACTTAGGATTATAATAGCCAAACTTAATTTTTTAAAAATGCCATATAACAGTATATAGAATATCTTTCAAATTAATACAAACACATTAAATATTTTAATTTAATAATATACTATATATAAAAATATTTCTGTTTATGGGTAATTTAAGAACACTTTTTGAGTTTGATAATATTTTGGGCTTCTATTTAGTATTTTTGGTCAAACATACACTCTTAATATAGCCATATATACATGTGCACACACACACACATTCTTTCCTCATACACATATTCAAAGTAAACTAATTTTTCTTTTGTTTTCCTGGTGGTTTGTTAAGTGGTTTATAAATATAGTATCTATAAACCCTCATATACTGGAAGTAGCTCAGGACTAGAATCGTGAAAAACAGTAGCATCAGGACAAAGAGGATAGATGCAACCAGATAGAAGCTTGGGCTGAAATAACAAAAACAAAAAAATCATTAGAAGTCATTGTTCACACTTTCGCTGTTAATTTACTCAGTCAAATAGTTTCTGAATACCTAATTACTATGCCAATGACTGAGAACAAAGATCAATAAGACATAGTGTCTATCCTCAAGGTATTAAAAGTGTTTGAGGCTGGGCCTGGGGTTATAGTTCAGTGGTAGTGGGCTTGCCTAGCGTGTGTGAGGCACTGGGCTCAATCCTCAGCACCACATAAAAATAAATAAAGTATTTGAGGCTGACTAGGGAGGAAAATAATGTGATCAGTATGATAAAGCAGAGCATGAAGTTCTGTGGGAGCCATGCCTCACAGAAGGTCCTCTAGTGGAGGGCACCCTGGACACGTGTGGGTAGGGGTGGATGAAATCTGGGAGTGAAGGAAGTGTTCCAAGCGAAGGGAGAAGTGAAGGCCATGGAAGTGTGAGGAAACCTTGAGATCACTCCTGAAACATTCTGGAACTGATAATAGCTCGATTTCCTGGAACTCAGATGCTGGGTAGAGTAGTTAGAGATAGGTGGTAGGCAGGGGTCAGATGAGAAAGACAGTTTACATCAGGCTAGAGAGCATGGATTTTAGTGGAAAGGCAAGAGGGAACTTCAGGGGGTATGACATAGGATTGACATTTTAAAAAGATGATTCTGATAGTAGCATGAAGAATGGATAAAAGGGAAGCCTGAGTGCAAAGATGGGAAAACCAGTTCTGAGATATCTGTAATAATTCAGTTATAATGTGGGTCTAAATTAATGGCTGAAGAAATGGAGAGAAGTGGACATATGTTTGGCAGTTAAGTTGGATTGATCTCCATGATGTTTTAAGATGTGGTGTTTGAGAAACATGAATAAAGGATGTTGCCCAAGTTTAGGGATAAGTTACCAAAGGGATGGCATCACAACCCAAAAATAGAGGATTCAAATGGAAGAGCATTTTTCTCCTCCTCCTTCTTCTCTCCACCTACCCCCCCCCCCCCTTAAAAACTTGGGTCTTGCTATGTTCCTGAGGCTGCTCTCAAACTCCTGGACCAAGGGATCCTCTTGCCTCAGCCGCCTGAGTAGCTGGGACCATAGGTACATCCTACCATGTCCAGCTTAGAGTACTTCTTGTGTGTGTGATTATGGCTGGTTTGCTTTGGGGAATTTTGAATTTAAGGTACCTAAAAGTCAGCCAGATAGGTGTGTGTGTGTGTGTGTGTACATCATTTATTAAATGTTACTCTTGGTGGGTGCCAGACATGTGCCTCTTCACTCAGGACTCTGCATGGGTGCCTTCCTTCAGAGTAGATTTGCTTTCTATTTGGTGTCCTAGTATCTGACATTAGTTTTTGGTTCCCTTTTAAACCATAATTATCGTTATCAGTGTTACAGTTTCTGTAAGTTCCCATAGTTGCCTAGTCTGATCATTCTCATCTGTGGCTATAAACATTATTGGGCTCTACAGAATGTATTTTTTTTCTTTAACAAAATAATATAATAACCATCTGATACCTTTTAGGCATTGTGCAAGTTGCTGGCAGGACAATGATGAGGAAAAATAGACATGGGCCCCATGTCTATTTTAGTGGGGACATAATCAAATGATCAAGGAGAAAATAAATCTAAAACTGCAATTGTGATAAAGAACTAAGAAGGAAAGAAATATAGTATAGTGAAATCTCATTGTAGTAGGATTTAATGTGGTAAATGGGATCCAGAAATGCCTTTTTGGGGAAAAGATAATTATCCCCCAAATCTGAAGAATGAACAGAAGTTGGTAAAGTTAAGTAATAAAGAAGGAAATGAAGAGATTCCAGACAGAGGGAATAACATGTGGAAAGTTCCTGCCATGGGACAGAGTACAGAGAAGGCGAGGGTCTGAAAGAAGTTTGGTGAGTCTGGAGCTAAGTGAGTGCATGATCCAAGATAAGGAGAAGTAGTTAGGGGGTAGATCATGTGAGGCCTTCTAGACCATATGAAGGAATTTTACTTCTATAGAAGGAAACTTCATGTGTTCAAAGTTACTACAATTAACACTTTGAAAATATTACTCTGGCTCCAAAGACGAGAAAGAACTAGAAAAAAGTAAGAGTGAATAAGGAGAGTTTGGTTAGTAGTCTATTTCAGAGATAATGGTAGTTTGGATTGGGGTAGTGGTGATGGTTAGTAAGAAGTGGATCTATTCAAGGCCCACTTAGGAGATTAAATGAGTGGGAGCTAATGGTGGTTTGAATATGAATGCTAGGTTTATCATTTTTGTTTTTGACTTGTAAGCTTACATAGTCAGATATACTATTTTCTGGAAGAGGGAAAATTGGAAAACAGGGTCGCCACCTTGTTGAACTCCAGAGTGTACAATCAACACTGTAGGTTATATGAATTGATCCTCCTGGAGCTGCACAAGGACAGTCCACAGGACTGAGTGTGATGACCCAGATGGATCAGTTGTAAGGTGGGACAGATACTTGGGTAGGAGAGTGTGTGGTAAGATCATGAATTCACTTTTGGACATGTCCAAAATGTGATTCCTGGAATGATGCTTTAGGAAACAGAAGAGTTACCAGTAATAACAGTGTCCAGTGTGGGACTATGGGAGCAGACAGCTGAGGTGCAGTAGAGGAGGAGGTCACCAAGCATGAGAAAAGGCCATGATGTTGAGCAGGATTGGTAATGTAGACACTGATGGTGGGGTTCATTATGGAGAGGAAATCAGTATGACAGGGCCAGTTATTGATGAATGAAGGAGAATTTAGGGAGGACATAAACAATGAGCTAGGGCTATAGCAGAGGCCCTGAACCTCAAGGATAAATGTGTGTTTGATATTTTTCTGCATTTTTGTAAAAACCAGGATAATGGTTTGAAACTGCTAATTAGTCCCTGACGTACAAAGAAAATGTAAGAAAATAGCATTACAAAGAAGGGCTGGAGGTGAAGCAGTATCCTCAGGAGAAGCCTGGTTTCACCAAAGGGGATAGAGGGAGGATTCAGAGGACAGTTGAGACTAGTTTAGTGGTGGCAATTTCAGAGGATAGAATGGAAAAACTGGAGAAACTGCTCCCAAAAAGGGCTCTTTTACCGGAAGATGTTCACCCCCAGCTGGCCCCAGTCTGTCTCTGGTATCCTGTAGGGTCCAGGTGTTAACAGAGGCTAAACTATAGTTACTAACTTAGTGGACTATGCCACTCCCTATACCACACTGGTATGCCTGGAATTCAGCTGCTTGAGGGTGAGAGCTGAGCAAATGGGTTGACTTTATTCTTTCTCCTCTCTTCCCTTCCTCCCTTGGCTCCTTATTTTGTTGGTGGGTACTTAGGTGAACCACCACTCTTCATATTCAGCTAAATCAAACATGCCAATGTCATGAGGAAGAGAAGTCATTGGGAAACAGTTATGTATGTTTCCCAAAGTTAAGTGAGAAATGACACTTGCTTTATCTCATTTACAGATTATTCATACCATGAACCTTCCATGTCCATGAAACACTGAACCATCAGTAATACTAAAAGCAGGCCATAAATAGCTTCTACCATGTGTGTGTGTGTGTGTGTGTGTGTGTGTGTGTGCGCGCGCGCTGGGAATTGAACCCAGGGCCTTGCACATGCTAGGCAAGTGCTCTGCTGCTGAGATATATCCCCAGAATCTTTCTTCTACTTTTAATTAACATTTTACGAAAAATCAAAAAACCCCACAAACAAACAAACAAAAAACACAAAAGAAAACAATCCCCAAAATACCAGGCCCAGGACAGAAGCAAAGTCATTTTATGTCCTAACTTAAATATTATGACTTTTTCTAAGTGTCCTCTAAGGGAACTGGAACTGAGACCAGGCACATGCCTTTACTAGTTGTTTCCTGGATGCATCAGAATGACAGTAAGTGCACTGTCTCCACTGCAGCATTTTACCACCTGCCAAGTAGGTGGAGTCGAGGAACATGTCATGAGGAAGAGAAGTCTAATAGGAAGGCAGGGGACACTAGGTATAGTAACAGGATTTTTCAGGAATTCCTTCCTGTTGTACCCATAGTACACACATATTGTTTTTAGAAAATCATGTAAAGGCAGAAATATTAGTGCTTTAGGAAAATAGCAAGTCTGTCACTTGGGAAGACAGATTTCACAGAGAGCCAAAAAAAAAAAAAAAATCTAAATATAGATTTATAAATGCTTCATTTGAGTTTTTTGTTTGTGGGTTTAAGATTAGGTTCAATTACATGATATTTTGGATAATAGGATTTTAAACTGGGGACCCTGATAAGTGATTGCTCAGGCTCTGTTTTGGGGAATATTGGGGTGCCTTTCCTTTTTAGCCACCACTCTTATATTGTAGAAATTCCTTCACTAAAGCCTTTCCTTACCTGGGAATCACGCCATAGGTCTCTATTGCAAATATAGCCATTAGATTACAGAAACTGCAAATCAGAAAAATAACAGTAAAGAGTAAATTAAATGCAATATATTTAAAACTTCCGCTATATCTCTACAATAATAATCAGATCATATATAATCTTAGTTAAGGTGTAATATTCTTTTTTAAAAAATTTTTTAGTTATATATGACAGAATTAATTTTGACATAATTATAAAAGCATGGAATATATCTTTTTCTAATTCAGACCCAATTACCTCTTCTTCCTCTTCCCTCTCCATCCCCATTCCCTTTCCTCTATTGATCTTTCTGCCATTTACCCATAGTTTTTGTTTTTAAATTAATTCTTGTGGATGTACACGATGGTGAGATTCACTGTGTTAAATTCATATTTGTACATTGGAAAGTTATGTCAGATTCATTCCACTGTCTTTCCTTTTTCCATCCCTCTTCCCTTCCCTTCATTCTCTTTTGTCTAATCCTGTCTCAGCCTCCTGAACTGCTGGGATTACAGGTGTGTGCCACTGTGCCTGGCAGTTTGTTGAGTTCTTTACGTATCTTGGAAATTAATGCCCTATCTGAGGGGTGGGTGGCAAAGATTTTCTCCCATTGTGTAGGCTCTTTCTTCATGCTCTTGTTTTCTTTGCTGTGAAGAAGGTTTTAATTTCATGTTGTCTCATTTATTGATTTTTGATTTTATTTCTTGTGCTTTAGGAGTCTTGCTAAGGTAGTCAGTTCCTGAGCAGATATGTTGGAGGGTTGGGCCTACATTTTCTTCTAGCAGTTGCAGGATTTCTGGTTTAATTCCTAGTTCTTTGATTCACTTTGATTCAAAATTTTGAATTTTGTACAGGGTAAGAAACAGGGGTTAAGTTTCATTCTACTACATATGGATTCCCAATTTTCCCAGTATCATTTCTTAAAGAGGCTATCTTTTCTCCAATGTATGTTTTGGCACCTTTGTCAAGTGTGAGATAACTATTTAAGTTGGTTTTTCTCTGTATCTTCTTCTATTCTATCCTGTTGGTTTTCATGCTTGCTTTGGTGCCAATATCATGCTGTTTTTGTTACTGTAGCTCTGTAGTATAATTTAAGGGCTGTTATTGTGATGCTTCCTGCTTCACTTTTCTTGCTAAGGATCACTTTGTCTATTCTGGGCCTCTATTTTTCCTAATGAATTACGTGACTGCTTTTTCTATGTGTGAGTAATGTCATTGGACTTTTGATGGGAATTGCATTGCATTTGTATAGTGCTTTTGATAGTATGGATTTCAGAAATGAATAAATGCTCTAAATTTCCAGGTAATATTAATTTCCAGGTGATGAAAAGTCTGAGTCTACTTACATAGCTTTAGTCTCCAGACATTTAAAAACTTCTTCCTTCCCAAAGATTGGGCCTGAATCACACTCAAGAGGTAGCATTGAACAGAGAGGTATGATCATTCATTTTGTTTTTATCACTAAACTTAATCTCCCACTCACCATTTTTCAAACCTTCTAGAGGTTGGACACACATAGGAGGAGAGGATCAAAATTTTATGTGACTATTTTCTTGGCCAAAAGTACGTAGGTATTGAATGCTCAAATATTAGGTTTTTCTTTTGAGGAGAGATAGAACTAGCATTTCAACTTTTAACACATAGACTGGGTTCTTCAGACATTTTCATCTTGTAAAGTTCCAGGAGTCAGGTGATGCCTACTGTATTTACCAATCACCCACCAATCATGGACTCCTATTTTTTTCCCCACACATTATTCTTTTGGGGTCACCTAACCCTTTATGTAGGCAGGGGTGGTGCCTTTCATGAGAGCTCAAGTATAGTTTCCCTTCTCTCTCTCTCTCTCTTTCTTTCAAGCAGGGATTGAACTCCGGGGCACTCAACCACTGAGCCACATCCCCAGCCCAATTTCGTATTTTATTAGAGACAGGGTCTCACTGAGTTACTTAGTGCCTTGCCTAGGCTGGCTTTGAACTCGTGATCCTCCTGTCTCAGCCTCCTGAGCTGCTGGGTTTACAGACTTGCGCCACCGCGCCCGGCCCAGTTTACCTTTTTTTGAGTCAGGGGCTCATTAAGTTGCCCAGGCTAGTCTCAAACTCCTGGGTTCAAATGATCCTCCTGTCTCAGCTTTCAGAGTAGCTGGGACTCCCTGTGCACACCAGCATGCCTAACAAAGTCTAATTTCCTTTAATGGTGTGCATATTTGAACCCATTGAAAGTGAAAACTCCCCCCTCCCCGCTTTGGTGAGAGCCCTATTTCTGTCCATTGCATCACTCTTTAGCCTATTGTCAGTGTACCTGTAAGCAGCCTACTGTCTTCAAATTTTCTAGATCATAGTCAAAAGTAGTCCTTGTTTCCCCACTCACAAACCAAGAGACCCAGTTAGCTTCCCCATGTGGTTCTCTGAGGTCTCTTTTACTTGTGGAGAGTACCCACATGCAGGAAGGAGGCACAGCACTCAGAAAACTCTCTCCAGAGAAATTCTACTAGCTTTTCTTTCTTTCTTTTTTTAAATGAAGTTGAATATTTTATTTCTTATTTTGTTGAAAGCTGTTGTTAGCTTAACACCAGTAAATGCAGTACATTATAAAATTAAGACAGTATTGTTCTTCTGACACTATACAACACACACTTTCTTCCATGCCCAGTTTTTTTTCCGAAGGAAGATCATAAAGTATATTGACCCAAATCTAGGGATGGGTGAAAGCAAATTACAATATTATATTAGGCTTATAACAAGATTATCCTTGAGTTACATACTTTTTATAAGTAGTTTTTTCCACAGATAATTTCATGAATTCTGATATCAGTCTAATTCCTACTCCAAAAATGATAAGGAATTGTAAAAAAGATGCATATTGTGTTTATCTGCAGTCATTGGGAAGTTAAGGGGTATCTTCTTCCAGTAGCAGTGTTGAGAGTAGTTTTTTAAGTCTTCTATCCACCACTAATTTAAGACAGCTGCAGAAGTTATAAACACTAGTTTCTTTAGGGTGCCATTTCCACTCAATAGATTTTATGTATTTCTCATATGCTTCTTTGCTTACTAGGTCATCTAGTTCTGAAGGGTCACTCAGTGTCATCTTTATCAGCTAATCTTCATCATAGCAAGATTTGTTCACAAACCCTGGGTTTTCTGCAAGTGCCTCATTAATTTCAGTTACTTCTCCTGATAGAAGAGAATAGAGTTCACTGGCAGCTTTCACACTATCCAAAGCACCAAACTCATCTTGTTTTTTCAATTTTGTCTCAACTTCAGGCAGACTACAGTAAACAACATCTCCCAGAGCTTCCTGTGCAAAATTGCTGATTCCCACTATTCCAATACCATTCCCTGTAGTTATCCATTCAAGTTTCTTTGTGAATTTTCGCAGGAGAGCAGAGCGGGTCATGTGCTCAGTGCCCGCACAGCTCCACCCTCACCCGCCAGGGCTGCTGGCGGGCACAGTGTAGCGGGCACAGTGTAGCGGGCACAGGGGCTGCTCCAGGCTGCAGCAAGCCGCACCACGCCTCTTGCAGCGCCATGCCTGCAAGGGTCCAGAGGGTCGCCCGCTGCACCTCTGCCACCCTCCTAGCCTTTCTTATGAACTCCCAGTCTTTCAAATATATTGCAGGTTACTGGGGGAAGGAACCAGTTTGGGAACACTCTCTTGTAAAGTCCTGCCTTGGTGATTATGATTTTAGAATGTGGGAAGAATTGACTCTGGGGTCTCTACCCAAACTGTAAGACAGAGAGATTTGCATCTGAATACCCAATTTACTGTGTTTTCCTATTAACTTTCAATTTTTTTCTCTACATATTTTTCTTTTATTTGAACAGCATACTGCTCTGTCCCTTATTACCCTCAATTCCTTAAGCATGTGTATCTCCTTAAATTCTTCTCTCTCTTTATGATCTGTTAGTTAACTCACGTGTGCTCATGGACTCCTTATAGAAGATAACCATGTTTGTATTTTCAACTTTTTGTCATCAGCTTTTTTTCTCCCCAACTCCAGGCTCAAATTAGAATTTTAAACTGTTTATAGGATACCTTTCCTTATGTAGTTCATTGCCCTTTTGTTATGGTTTGGATATGAGGTGTCCCCCCAAACTCTGTGTTAATGAAGAAGGTGAAATTGTTAGATGATGACAGCTGTAACCTAATCAGTGGATTAATCCATTTGATGGATTAATAATTTGAATGGACTAACTGGGTGGTAACTGTAGGCAGGTGGGTGGGGCTGGAGGAAATGGGTCATTTGGGATATACCTTTGTGGTTCACATCTTGTGCCTGGCTCCTGGTGCCCTCTCTCTGCTTCCTGAGCAGCTTTCCTCTGCCATGCCCTTCTGCCATGATACTTCATCTCATCTCAGGTCCAGAGTAATAGAGTCAGCCAGCTACGAACTGAGACCTCTGAAACCATTGTCCATAAAAAAAACCTTTTCCTCCTCTAAGTTGTTCTTGTTTGGGTATTTTGGTCACAGAGATAAAAACCTGACTAACACACTCCTCAAATTCAAAGTCAGAACACTTATTTCAATACCTCCTCCAAAGATAAATAATACCCATTACCTTAATGGTCAAAGAATAGACCATTATTTAATCACCTGTCTAGAAAACTTGAAACCATACAGATTCCTTATTTTTCCTTCACTTCCCACATTAGGTCAAGATAATCATTCATTTTCTAATGCATGACACCTTAATTTTTTCTTCCATACTTCCTGTCACTAGGCCTTCCTTTAACTCTTGCCTTGTTAATATCACTTTTTTTCATTTATGTGGTTAAAGTTTATTCTCCTTCTGCACCATTCTTTATTCTATTTCCAGGCTAAATTCTCCAGAATTTCCCCTAGTGAAGAAACTAAAGAAACTCCCTTGGACATGGGTTGAAATTTACTTAAACATTATGAATTGCCTTAAAATTGTCCCCCTTTTTGCTTTCTACCTTCCTCTCACTCAGGAAACTTTTCACACGACTTTATGACTCTGTGAACTGAAGATAATGTACAGTTAGCTTCATTTCATTATTAATGTAATTTCTTTCACCTGAAGTGTCTATTTTAGTCCATTGTCAATGTAAATTCTACAGATTCAGCATCCCTATTTTCAAAAACCCAAATCCGAAGTGCTCCAAAATCTGAAACTTTTTGAGCTTTGTCATGATACCACCGTGGAAAAGTCCACACCTGATTTCATATGATGGGTCAAAGTCAAGCTAGGTTAGACTAGTTTTTTTTTTTAAATATCCTTTACAATTGCTGCCTAAAGTCTAGATAAGCACAAACCTGATTTTTGTTTCCACAGGTGGAAAAGTTAGATTATTAATGGAAAGAAGGAAGATGAGTAGTTGAGAGTAAGAAAATGAATAAATGGGTTATGTAACAAGAGAAATCCAATATTATATGAACACTCTGAAAGAGATTCAGAGCAAGAGATGGCATTATTTCTTAGCTCAATTACACCAGATGCCTGAAGGGATGAAGCTTTATGTTTGTTAAGACCACTCTTATTTTTGGAACTCAGTAAGTTGGACTAGAAGCCTGTAAACATGAGTAGTTTTACTCTGGAAGATTTATTCATACGATATGATGGGGGTTTTAGTAATGCAGCATTGTTTTTCAAGTTGTATGTTCTTTTGATGTAAGGAATTCCTGTTTGAAGACTAGAGGGTAGGCTGTGATATAATATTCCAATGTATTCTCCCCCCCCATGACCTGGCATACAACTCCTGGAATACTTGGAATCTTCATAATTATAAGTTGTCTTTTGATATGCTAAGGCGTTGATTGATGGTTGGCAGCCCCTGGGTAGTTTCAGGATGAGTGTTCTTAACAGAAAGACCAAGGCCAAATTAGAGGGTTGGGACTTCTAATCTGTCCCCCTTCCATTCTCCAGGAAGGGAGAAGGACTATAGGTTAAGTTGATCACCAATAACTAAGAATTTAATCAATAATGCCTATGTAATGAAGCCTTTGTAAAAGCCCCCAAAAGAGTAAAGAGAGCTTTCAAACATGTGGATGTTCCTGGAGGGTGGTACACCCAGACAGCATGGAAACTCTACACCTGTTCCTACATGCCTTGCCCTGTGAATTCTTCATCTGTATCCTTTGTAATATCCTTTACAACAAACCATTATTCATTAAAACAAAACTAACAACAACAACAACAACAAAAACAAAACAAAACAAAACAAAAATCTAACACTGGCCCAATACAAGCATTGTATAAAATTATAGTTCAGCTTATGTGCAGAGGTATATGTGAAATATAAGTTACTTTCCTAGTTAAACTTGGGTGTTATCACTAAGATTTTCTGAAAAAAAAAGCAAAAAAACCCAAAAAACTAGAAATATGAAACACTTCTGGTCCCAAGCAATTTGGATAAGGGCTACTTATCCAAAACCTGTTCCATGTCCTCCAGAAATTTTTCTTTTACTGCTCAAAATAACGTTAATTTTTCCCATTTCTGAATTACTATTATGCCTGTTAACAATACAAATGATTATATTAGAAAATTTCTCATGAATTTTCTCTGATTTCACCTCATTTGGTTTGCTTGGGTACACTCACACTTGCTTCCCTAAGCAGCCTAAGTATTAACACCTTGAAGGCTGGGTTTGCATTTATCTTATGTTTGGATCTATTGTGGCAGTGAGACACAGTAAAGTACTCAGAATGTAATTTTATTTTATTTCATTTTATTTTAAACATTGTTATCAGTTATTGATGGACCTTTATTTATTTATATGTGATGCTGAGAATCGAACTCAGGGCCTCACTCATGCTAGGCAAGTGCGCTAACACTGAGCCACAATCCCAGCCCCCAGAATGTAATTCTAAATGGAGTGATTTAGTTAACGTTTAACATAAAATCTCCTACCTAGGATGTTGAATGAGATTGCTACAAAATGAAAAGGCAAATATAGAACTAGCAAGAATAACAACAATTGAATCTGTAGATGGCATCAAATTAAATCAAGAAAACAAAAAATTAATTTTGAGGAATCAATACTAAAACTATTGCAATAAAACATTTATATTCACCTGTAGTTTGGGTCCAGGATCTTCACACGAAATATATACATTCCAGAGTGGCCCATGGGCCAATATATGTGATTATTATTAGAACTGTTGATAATCTCATATGGTTGACTTAAGTCTCCTGGTTTTCCAACAGCATAAGAAAAACAGGTCCTATAGTTCTGAACAAGATACAAAGACAAAAATCCTAAGAACATTTTTCTGACTTTAACGAACAAAATTATATTCTAATATATTTATCTTGAATAATTATTTAGAGGTGTAATGGCTAGTCTCTTCTATTCTACCATTGCAATGCTCTGTAGCATTTTTAGAGGCTACATTGGGAAAAACTTGTGAAAAGGGAAACTTAGTAAGAGCAAATGCTATAATTATTTTGTATTTAAAAGTACAAATAAATCAACAAAGCATAAAATCCTCCAAAGATTCTAATTTGGGATAGAAACTAATTTGCAAATACACAATAGTGGAGTTGTTACATCCTTGGGTTCTTATCCTCCTTTGGGACTTCTATTTATTCCCATTATTATTAGTGTCTCTCTCTGGGGGGGGGGGTATGTGTGTCTCAAGATAGACACTAAAAACAGTACTCCCCCCACCCCCATTCCTGGCTTCACTTTTCAAAGCACACATGAAACAACCTATAATGTATATCCTTGTTTCTGCATTCTTTTTGTTTTGTTTTATTTTATGGTGCTAGGGATTATACCTAGTGCCTCATGCACGCTAGGCTATGCTCTACCTCTGAGCTATACTCCCAGCCCTTGTTTTCTTAAATTTTATTTTGCCAATTTGCCTAAGCTGGCCTCAAATTTGCCATCCTCCAGCCTAAGCCTTCTGAGTAGCTGAGATTACAGGCATCCACCACCCACGTCTGACTGCTTCTGAATCCCTTTGGGTCCTGTGTGCTTTTAAACCTACATAAAGTTCTTCTCTTCTACCACTCCTGCTCTCTGGAAACTTCTTGTTTGAAGGAAACAAGAATATATTAGTTTGAATATGTATCCCAAAGTTGGAAACCTGATCTTCTAATGCAAAGGTATTGGGAGGTAGGGATAATGGGAGGTGTTTGGGTCATGGGGGTACCTGGCTCATGAATGGATTAATGTAATTACGTTGGGAGTGGTTTTGTTATCCTGGTAGTGGATTCCTTTTATAAGAATTAGTTTGGATGCCTCTTGCTCACTGTCTTTCTTGACCTTGACATCTTCTTTGCCCCCTCACCCTGAACCTTCCACCTTTGATGCTATAAGAAAGCCCTTGCAGGATGTTAATGCTATGCCCTTCGACCTCCCAGTCTTCAGAAGTGTGAGCCAATAAATGTTTCTTTATATTAATTACTCAGTTATAACAGCACAAAATGTACTAAGAGAATGGTCTTTTTCTTTTTTCTACTCTTCTTAAAGTATTTCTCTTCAATGAATAATTTCCCAGTCAACTGATCAGTCAGCTCTTACACAGTCTCAAAAGAACTTCCCCATGGCAACTCCATGTTATGATTAGATGGTGTTAATGATAAGCTCTGGAGTGAAACTTACTGCTTTATCTCCAGGCTGGCACACAGTAGGTGGCATATTTGTTGATCCTTAATTTGAAATGCTGTTAAAGTGTTTTATTTTGTTTTTAAATATTCAAGAGCTAGGTCTGCAGTCTGTGCCTGCAACCTCTTTCTCTGGACTTAGGTTGAATGACCTCTAATAATAGGTGTCTTAGGTTGGCTCTATCCATCCACTCAGAAACTTTCTGTGAGTGCTATTTGTTCATGGCTATTTGGTATGCTAGGCAACCATGCCCTAGTTTCTCTGGAGACCTTTCTATCAACTATGCCTCCTGGAGAGTTTTCTCAGAAAAAAAAAAAAAGGAAACTGCTTTATTCAAGTGTGAGGTACAATTCTAATTATGTCTATTCTTACCTCCCTGGATATCATGAAACTATGAGGATATGGATACTTTATCCTACTTATTGATACCTCCATTCTGATAATCAATTATTCTTCATTTTTTTCAAGGAAATAAAATTGTTTATCAAGGTCTGCAGCTAATTTAACAGTACAACTTTAATTAAATGAGAATTCTAGCATCACCTCTTCCTGAGAGTAGCATTTATGGATATTTGCACACCCCCCCCCCCCCCCTTTTTTTTCCCCCAGTCATTATCAATAGAACATTGATTCCTTTTGGATGTCACTAGAGTGGGAGGGTAATTCCAAGTCCTTACCTTTCATTATAGAAGCTGACAGGCACATATTCTTACCCCTAGGACTTCGCTGGAATGGGGTAGCACAGGAATTTGAATTTAAAATGAGGAGATGCAATGGGAGTAATGTTTAGAGGTAATTCATCCCAGTGGAAGTGCCCTAACCAGGTTGAAAGAATTGTTTGAAGAAATGAAATTTGAGAATAAAATGCATTTCATGCAAGAATGCAATGGGTTAAGTCACTGAGTTAAAAGTAAACGCACAGGCTATCAGGGTGATGTTGAGAAGATTGCTTACCATTTATATTCCAGTAATGACAAGTATGAATTGAGCCAAGAACAGTTTGATTAAATGGAGTAGAAGGTCCAGCTGATGCTCAGCTGTGCATATACCACTGGCTGGTTGTCTTGGCTGTAGTTTCCCTCTTCATGTTAATGATATTGTGATATGAAAGATCAGATGAAATAAACAGCAATCAGGGGCAGAGAACGCATATGTTCTACTTCCACTTTGAGAAAGGTCTGGGAAAATCTTGGAAGATATTTGCATGATAAACAAAGGATGAGATCACAAGGGGAACAGAACCAGGTTGTGCACAAGAGAGTTGTATTGAGCTATACTGTCAAGAAATTTTTGGATAAAACAGATCTGTTATATATTGTCTGGTTTTAGCTAAGAGCCACTGTAAAGAATCCAAATGTTTTGTGCCATAACCCACCCTGTCTGGTGGTAATTTTTCCTGGAAGGAAACACTAAGGAAGCAGACTCTACGAGTTGGCTTCTGCACAGGGTAGTGTGAGCTGCAGAAGCTCTGAGAACACAGCCTGAACAACCTGTGCTGAGCTGGGGTGAGGAGTTAATTGTCACTGAGTGCCTGGAATACCAATTACCAGAACTAACCACCCAGGGAGGAATTTTTGAAGGGATGCTGCAAATAAGCTAGTGAATCTTTACTTTGATGAAAGAACAGATTTGGGTGTGGGACCCTAGAATCAGGAGCCTCAATGGGTATAAATCATGATTAATTGTTCTAAGGTTTAGATAAAGATTGAAAAGGGTGTCAATCTATGGGTTTGCCATGAAGATGGGTGAATAGCAGGTAACTGCTATTACAGACTAGCTTATATGCGAAATGGTTCCAGCCTTTTATGTACTTAAGATTGCACCCAGGGCTGGGGATGTGGCTCAAGCGGTAGCGCGCTTGCCTGGCATGCTTGAGGCCTGGGTTCGATCCTCAGCACCCCATACAAACAAAGATGTTGTGTCCGCCGAAAACTGAAAAATAAATATTGAAATTCTCTCTCTCTCTTTAAAAAAAAAAAAAAGATTGCACCCAAAGAAAGACTGCTGTGTTTCTACAAGAACTGAGATGATTCTCATTCAGAGAACAACCATGTGCCTCGTAAATCTTTTGGGGTCAGAAAGTTTGCACTTTCATCTATCCTGGGTCATGTTATTTTATCATATATTCTTATTATAAACTTTGAATAAGTAACACTTACTGGATTTACCTGGTGGCATTTATTTCTTATTCTTTTCTTATTTTGCCTACATTTTGACATCCATCCATACAATGATATTGTGGATATAATATTCTATTTTTAACTCTGCTAAGTTTTGAAGGTAGCTAGGAACATAGACTATGATTCTCTGGTATTTACAACAATCCCTTGTATAACTCCCTCTTTTCATACACTTATGTATTTACCCTCTGGTTTGTGAATTCCTTTTTAAAGGTGGGTATTGCAATCACACTGAAAATTCCTCTGCTTCCCTTCCTAGCAAGTCACTTTCTTTTATATAGGTGGGTCATTTTATAATTATTTTAATCCTAAGTGTCACTGCTAAAATTCTTAATTTTGTTCAATTTAATGAAGTATTATTATGTCTTGATAAAATGCAAAGATAATTATTAAAAAAATACATCTTTTACCATTTCTTACCTTTGTCTACATTTCTACCATTGCAATCTCTAGCGCATTTATAAAATAATGTTGGGTATAGATTAATGAAAAATAAGTGAAGGTCTCATTATTTTCTGATGTCTATTAACTGCAAAAATACAAAACAGCTTATATTTTTTGATGAAGGGTTCTTCTGAGTCAACATTAGACTATCAAACTTCTTGTTTTACCAATTTGGTCAAAATAGGAACCCATGAACATTACTGAAAGAATATGTGACCCTTGCTAAATTAAGTTCATGAACTAGACATACATAATCCTAACTAAGCATTGCTGATAAGGACTTAACTTACCTTGTATCATTACACGTTTTTTTTTGTTTTTGTTTTTTGTATATAGACATCTCAGAGTCTATACGGTTTCTAATTCCCTACTGTGTTATTTAATAATGGGATACTGATACCTACTACTCTTTTTTGTGTCACACCTGATATGCCCATTATATTATTAGATTCTTCTTGCTCCAAGTTATTGTCATTTCCCCCTTCTTTTTCATTTGAAATCTCACTTAATCAATGTCTCATTGTCTTGTGAATTGCACTCCATTTCTAGCCAATGACTTCTCAGTCTATTATTTTCAGCCATGGTCAAAACTCAAGATCCATCCTGTATTATATATTTGTAGCCAGCAACTCTGAACCTATTTTCTCCCTTTACTTCTTAATCTCCAACATTAACTTGGAAGAATCTGTGAAAATGACATTTTTGTTTATAGGTCTCAGTTTGCAAACCCATTGCATTCTCCTCTGAGAATTCAGAATCCCTAGGGCTATTTTATGCAAATGTCATCTATTCTTGCAGAAGCGGGACTGTGTAGCAGTCAGTGAAGCCTCAAAAATTATAAGGTTCTCTATTTCATTTTAGGCATACATTTAAGGAAAAAGCACCCCTGATCGCCCTGTTGAGTTAATATACAGTGATACCCTTCAGTTAGAGTAGCCTTGTTCACCAGCATGTAACTAGTCTTTGCATGTACCTGCTTTCTGTAATACACACACACACACACACACACACATACACACACGTACACACACATACACACGTACACACACATACACACACTGAATCCATCCTTTTTGAGGTGAACTTTGTTTTTCACACAGCAGAACTGAACATTTAGGGCCTGGACTGGGCCCTCCAAAATCTTTCTAAATTGTAAACTATTTCAATGTTTTCTTTAATTAGTTCCCAGAACATTGGTATCACCTGGGAACTTGTTAGAAATGCAAATAATTTGGGACCCACCTCCTACTGCTGAATCAGAAAATCTGGAGGTGGGACCAAGCAATCTACTTTAATAAGTCCTCCGGATGATTCGGATATATACTAAAGTTTGAGAGCCAAGCACCATTTCATACTGATTGAGGCAAACTCCATGACTGTTAATTACCCAGCTGGCTCATTGCTTCCGTGGAGTCTGCTATTTTCACAAAATCTTAGAATGTTTAGGTGCCCATTGTGAGAATTTTGAGGATAGAGAAAGTATCATTTACATCCATCAGTTTCATACCTCTGGAAACCTTTCAATCAAAAGTCAGGAGGATAAGTTTTGTTTGAATTGGTTCCATTACTAGTTTAGTTGCTTATGATATTTGAGTAGAATGAAATCTTTGCACGAGAAAATGATCTATAGTTAATTCATTAGATTTATAAATATGTATTGAGCACCTGTAATGGGATAGATGCTGAGATACAGCAGTGTAAACAAAATTCCTTTCCTTCTTGGGGCTAACTTTCTTGTTGGGGAGCCAGATAGTAAGATACAAAAGTAGGCTGTATAATGTTGTAGGGCAGGTCCAAAATGGCTATAGGATCCCTCGCTGAGGCTTCCTGCAGGCTGTTTTTAGTATGTAGCCAAGGTCATGAATACTCTGATTCAGCATATGTACTCAAGGTCATACACATTTGCTTGTGAGCAGGTGCTCACTTATGTAAACTGTTATGCCTTCTTTGTCTGGCCTGCACATGAAAAAGGCTTTTGGAATGGCTGGGGATGGGATGTTGACTAGAGGCACCTCTGAATAAGCATGTCTATCAACCCAACTGTGCCTAGACTCCTTTTTCAACTGCTGGAGCCCCAGACTTTCCTTTTCAGGTCTGAGCCTCAACCAGACAACTGGCATAGTCAGCAGGATCTTCTGCTGGTGAGAGATGCATCAACTCTCTCAGACAGAGGAACCTGTGGCTCCTGAACAGCGTGTAGCACTTGGTTGCCACAGTCCTATTAGTATGGAGTCCTGTGGAGAATTGGGATATGGTGGACGGGTTCCCTGTGAGCATAGAGAAGGTTTTACAAGCAGTAAGCTCTTGTCTATAAGCAAGCAATCAGAAGACAAGTGGATTAAGTTTTTCTGATTGCCCTGTGATGAACATGGACCCAGCAGAGTGGGCTGTGAATGGACTGGTGGAGCCCAAGATCTGGCCCCTGGCCAAGGAGAAAGGTGGCAGTGGTGGTGCAGACTGGATGGAGAAATGGCCTAAGGAGTCACATAGATGACTGCTGGGGCCATGGATGTTTCTTATAACTCTGAAAGCAAAAACTTATGCAGCTTTATGAGAGACTGCCAAAAGTAGGGAGCTACAAGATAAAGAAGAGGCCTTGAAAACTGCAGTGTGGTCCCTGGAGGAGGATCTCAGTACTTTGAAAATACCCCTCAGCTTTCCTCATACTGACTGAGTAAGAAGACTAAGAAGACGAGGAGGAGGGGGCCTAACACCTGCAAGCACAGCCCGTGGTAATGCATAAAATGAAAACAACAGCAGCCAATGGCTCCCATGGGCAGCCACTGGTAGGGCTGGCCCGGGTAACCAAGTTCACCGTATTTCTGCCTGTCAAGCAGAGTTGGTGGACTTAGGAAAATAATTTGGGCAGAAATAAGAAGAACCCCTGGCTGCTTTGTTACTATGCCTGTGAGATTTAGGCACATTATGTGTAGTGCCTTAAAAATGGGAGGTTAGAAATTCTCCTTGCAGCAGAGGTTATAAAACAGTAAATGCCAAAGAGTCATTTAGAGGGGCCAAGAGAGCCCAGATATGCTAGGAGCCAGCAGGAACAAAAGACTTCAAGAGGTGCTAGGGCCTGTCACTTAGGTAGAACCAGAAACCTCCATAATTTGGAGGTAAGGCACCTATCCTGTCTAGTGGTCAGTACACTGATAGCTCCAGCCATGGAAAACTGTCTTGTGGGCAATGGTGGCTGTGCAGCCAAAGACAGATACTATCTGGTTTAATACCAGTACAGGACAAAATAGCCAGTGAGCTTTGCTACATTCTGTCTGGATGATGGTAACAATTGAAGTATCCCCCATAGTGATAGGTACTAACAGCTGTGCTGTGTACTGGGGGCAAGTTCTATGATGAGAGCTCTGGGATCTAGGCCCTCAGGAACACACAGGGGCTATAGAGCATGTTATTGGTCACCTAACTATCCTGGGGAATGATGAAGCACATGTTTTAGCTAGAGTACAGTGGTTAGAATGGGTACTTCCCATTGACCTAGTGGCTTGGTTGTACCACCACTTACAGCATGCAGATGTGATAAACATGTGGAATGTAGTCAAACAATGGGGCCTGCCTTTAATGTGGAATGCTCTGGTGGAGGCTTGCCAGGCATGTGGTTTGTGCTTAGGAACATCCACACCCTTGATGCTTTGGAGCTGCAAATGGCCCAGTAATGCATGGATGCGTCTCCTTGACATGACGGCAGGCTGACTACATCAGCCATTTATTGAAGTCAGAGGAGGCCATGTTTGCCTTGACAGCAGTTGGTTTAGCCACGGGCTTGTTGCTTGCCTGACTTAGTAGCCAAATGAATTAGCTTACTATGATTTGTGTCCCGACAATGTTAATGGCCTTGTAAGACTATCACAATAGAAATGATCAAGGTACCCATTTCATGGGTCAGGATATAAAGTAATGGGCCACTCAGTTACAGATTTAATGGAAGCTTCTTGTCCCACATCACCCACAGAATGAAGCATGATAGAAAGACATGATTGCCTGCTTAAGCGAGGACATAGGAGTTCAGTCAACCCACCTTTTATGAAGGGGCAGGTATAGTCTCTCTTCACAATTGTGTGAGCTCTGAATGAGCATCCCTGATGAGGGGGACCAATCCTGTGGAGGCTTTGTTTATACCACACAGTGACCCTAATACAGGTCCAGGTGACAACAAAGGATGTTATACTTAAGCCTGGGTTTGGGAGGCAGGGGGTGTTCTTTTATCTGCTCCCATTGGATTGAATAGGGGGTAAATTGTGAATTGGATATGGTCCTGGACAATAAAGCTCCCCCACTTTGTTGGATAGCCCTGTTAGCCCCATAGGAAAAGGGGTTGGGTGTGATCTTGTGACACCATGGGTGATTAGTGAATGCCCCCTGCCCCGCACATATGACTTGGCCAGGTCCCACAGATGAGACATAGATTTTAAAGGGCATTTTAAAAAATTTTCCTCTGGCCAATTAAGGATTCCCCAGTGCTGGTGCACATAGAACCTGTTGAAGTTCAGGACAAAGCTGTATGAGTGTGGTACCACCTGCCCAGCAAAGCCACCTCAGGCAGCATTTGTGCTTTCCTGGAACTCAAAGTTGGCATGAATTCTCCCTGAAGGACATGATTTATCTATATTAGTACCTGTAACTTTGTCCTTTTGTCCATAGGTATGTTCTTGCCAATACTATTGGGAACTGGACACATGCCTACGCCAGAATAGCACACATCTCTGCCTGCTGGGTATGCATTAAAATGCCTATGAGTTCTATTGCCAGAGTACCCTGGTGAGTCCAGATTATGTCACTTGATGGTTGGATGTGCCTGGGAAAGACTTGCATTGTCACCTCAATATGGGATGAAACTGGTAATGTTTGTTAGTATTTCTAAGTGCAGCTCATATTTTTGTTGTGTCCTATAGGAAGCAGGGTTCTACTTTCTAAGAGATAATTGCAAAAGACATACACATATAGATTGTATGGCAAGGAATATTAAATGGGTGTATTATATGGCAGGCCCAAGATGGCCCTCACTTCTGGAAGGCTATGTTTTATTTTATTTTATTTATTTTTTTATTTTTTATTGTTGGTTGTTCAAAACATTACATAGTTCTTGATATATCATATTTCACACTTTGATTCAAGTGGGTTATGAGCTCCCATTTTTACCCCATATACAAATTGCAGAATCACATCAGTTATTCGAAGGCTATGTTTTAGTACATAGTCAAGGACATAAACATTTGCTTGTGAGTACTTTTGTAACCTATTGGCATTGTGCCTTCTTTGTCTGGCCTGCATATTAAAAGAGGCCTATGGAAATGGCTCAGGGGAATGGGAGCTGGTAAGGGATGCTGCTGTCTCTGAATAAAGCATGTCTGCTATCCCAACAGTACCTTGTATCTTCTTTCAGCTGTGGGAGTTCCAAACCTTCCCTCTTGGATCTGAGCCTCAACTTGACAAATGTGTCAGAGAGTTGTAAATGTTCATCATATTAAAGAAAATAGGGAAGGGAAACATAGGCTGTCATGGGATTGATTTCAGTAGGGTATCCAAGTAAGTCCTTGTTGACTACTTGATTTTTAAATAAAAAAATAACTGATCCCCAGCATGGCAGTGGTGGTGGGAGACAGGTAAAGGAGGTAGGTTGTCTTTTTTGGGGGGGTGGGTACCGGGAATTGAATGCAGGGGCACCAGACCACTGAGCCACATCCCCAGCCCTATTTTGTATTTTATTTAGAGACAGAGTCTCACTGAGTTACTTTGTGCCTCGCTTTTGCTGAAGCTGGCTTTGAACTCACAATCCTCCTGCCTCAGCCTCCCAAGTAGCTGGGATTATAGGCATGCAATACAGAATCGACAGAAGATAAAACAAATCAGAGTGTTTTTAAAATAAGAGAAAAATAGATTCAAAGCAAATTAAAATCCAAAGTGTTTCCACAAAGATTTTGTTAAGGGCAAATTTGTGATTCCAGATAGATGTTTTTCTTACCTCTGGTCCCCACACATCTTCTAATGGGACGTCCTTGTTAAGCTCTGTCATTGTCTTCCATGTCTGTGCTTCATTTAAACAACCACTCTGTCAAAAGATGTCATATATATGGATATTTTAAAGTTTTCATTGTCAATTTATTCCTAAGTATCTAATATATTGTGATGCCACTGAAAATTTTATGTTTTTAAAAACTTTCATTATGTACTTGCTTGCTGATGTACAAAGGAACAACTGATTTTAGTATTCTGACCTTGAGTTGAAAGAATTTCTTAAACTCACTTGTTAATTCTGAGTGTTTCACATGAACCTCTGTGCTACCTGTGAATATGACAGTTTTCTCCCTCCTTTCCAATTCTTATAACTTTTATTTATTTTTTGCTGCTTATCCTTTACCATATTACAAAGATTTCCAGGAACAATGTTATATTAAAAATGGTGGCATAGCCACCCTTGTTTCATTCCTGATTTCAGAGGGAGGCATTTCATTTTCACCATTAATATAATGTTTGCTATATTTTTTAAAAAATTTTATTTATTTTATTCATTTTAGTTGTTGATGGACCTTTATTTTTTATTTATATGAGGTGCTGAGAATTGAACCCAGTGCCTCACACATTTGAGGCAAGCGCTCTACCACTGAGCCACAACCCCAGCCCTGCTATAATTTTTTTAACCTAAATTTTATTAGGTTAAGAAAGTTATTATTCATTTTATAAGCTTTGTTGTAAAAATAATGCTATGTGTAGATAATAAATTCTTAATTGCATAACTTTTCATCAAATATTACAATGGTCTTATGCCCTTTTTTCTTTATGCTGTTAATATATTGAATTTGATATACCAAATCCACTTTCAAATGATATATCATCCATTCATTCATTTGTGAAATAAATAACATTTAGTCTGGATGTATTATTCTTTGATATATTTCTGGGTTTGATTTACTAATGTTTTGCTTTGGTGTTTTGTATGCATGTTTATGAGTCAGACTGACCCATAATTCTCTCTTATTTTAAGATTCTTAGCAACTCCTTGTGGTTTCACAAAATGAATTGGAAAATCATCTCCAGCTCCCATTCTCTGGAAAATATATTGTGATGCCACTGAAAATAAAACTGAAGAAATTTTTCCTTAAATGTTTGATAGATTTCATCAGAAAAGATTTATAGGCTTGGAGTTTTCTATTTTTTTTTTTTTTTGTAACAGAAGATATTTTAGTAGGTTGTATTTTTAAGGCATTTGTCTATTTTATCTACTTGTTCTTGTAAGATTTGTTGACATAAATGTTTATAATAACCTCTAATACATTTTTAATGTTTATAAAATTTGTAGAATTTTCATTTTACTCCTTATATTGGCTACTTATAACCTTTTCTCCATTTTCGGTGGTGAGTTAATTTTATAGTTTGTTTAAAGAATCAATTTTTGTCTTTGTGACTACTTTATCTTATATTTGTATCTATTTTATTAATTTGGGGTTTTTCCCTTTTTTTTCTTTTGGTACTAGGAATTGAACCCAGGTGTGCTTAACCACTGAGCTACATCCGCAGCCCTTTTTATATTTTTATATGGAGACAGGGTTTCACTGAGTTGCCTACTGCATTGCTAAGTTGCTTAGGCTGGTTTTGAACTCAAGATCCTTCTGCCTCAGCCTCCTGAGCTGCTGGGATTACAGGTGTGTACCACCAAGCCCAGCTTAATTTGTGTTTTTAACTTCATTATTTTTTTTCTTTTACTTTTTTTGAGCTTAACTTTCTAATGTTTGTCTAACTTCTTGATGTGACTGTTTAATTTTTCAGATTTTCATTTCTAATACACACACATAAGCCTATCCATTTTCCCTTGCACATGACTGTAGATAAATCCAGTGAGTTTTGATATTTGCTATTTTCATTATCATTAACTCCCAGATATTTTCAATTTCCATGTATTTTTTGATGTCTGGTTTATTTCATATGTATGGAAATTTCTAATTTTTTGTTATTGATTTCTAGTCAGAATATATACTCTGTAATATCAATCTCATTAAATTTCTTGAGATTTACTTTAAAGAGGACATATGGTTAATTTTTATAAATGATTTGTGGGTGCTGGGAAAGAATATGTATTCTGAAATAGTTGGTACAGTGTTTTAGTCTATTAGGCCAAGTTTGTTAAGCATGTTGTTCAAATCTCCTCTATTTAAAATTTTGTCTCCCATGCTGCAATAGTTATTGAGGGAGTTGGGTTAAAATTTCCTATGATGTTTGTGGATTTGTTAATTTCTAGTTATCTTCAATTTTCTATTTATATGTTTTAAATTAATATAATTATAAATGTAAATAAAAATTATACATCTCAATTATAATTGTTATAGATTCCCGGTGAGCTGAACCTTATTTTTATTTTGAATAGCACCCTGGTAGAAGTCTGGTGCAAATCTGATGTAAGCCTAGGTGCAAGTCTGTTCATCACAAATTTTCTCAATTTTTGTCTAAAAATGTCTTTTACCACATTTTTAATCAAAATAATTAAATTTTCATTTTATTGTGGTAAAATATATCATTTATCATTTTCACAATTTTTAAGCATTCAATTCAGTGGCATTAAGTACATTCATATTGTTATTATAATCATCTAGCTCCAGAATTCTTTTCATCTTGCAAAACTGAAACTATACAATTTAAACAAGTCTTCATTCCTTGCTCCCCATGGTGGCTGGCAACCACCATTGTATTTTCTGTCTCTATGATTTTTGACTACTCATAATACCTTGTACAAAATGTATGATATGTCAAGGTCATTGTACTGTCATGTGTAACTAATTAAAACAAATTTAAAAAAAGAAAAAAATAATTCCTTGTACAAATTGGATCATACATTATCTGTTCTATGACTGGCTTGTTTCATTTAGCATGATGTTCTCAAGGTTCATCTATATTGTAGTGAATATGAAATTTTCTCTTTTTTTAAAGGTGAGACCATATTCCATTTTGTGTGTGTGTGTGTGTGTGTGTGTGTGTATGTCACATTTTCTGTTGTTGGCATTGGATTATTTCTACTTTTTGGCTATTGTGAATAGTGCTGTTTATATGTTGGAATGTAAATATTTGAGTCTACTTTCAATTTGTTTGTTTATATACCTAAAATTGCTGGATCATATGGTAATTCTAGTGTATTAAGACAATAATCTAGATATTAAGGATACTTATTATTTCTAAGGATTTTAATTGTCAGAGTAGAACAATACTTATATCTCTCTATATTAACAATATATCTTTATTTATATCCAGATCAATATCCAGTACATTATGGGTTTATGTTTTATTTAACTCAATTCAGATGTTTTTGGTACTGGGGATTGAACCCACAAGTATTTTACCACTGGGCTATATCCCCAGTCGTTTTTATTTTTTTGTTTCGAGACAGGGTCTCAATTAAGTTGCTGAGGCTGGCCTCAAACTTGCAATCTTCCTTCCTCAACACCCCCCCCTCCACCGCCCCGCTCCAGTTGCTGGGATTATAGATGTGTACCACTGTGCTTAGCTCAAAATCAGAATTTTTGTTTTACTTCTTCCATCTTACATATGTATCTCTTTGCTTTCATTCCAAAACACTTGGTGAGGAATGAGAATATTGAAATATTCCTTAATTACAGGTTTGTTTTATATTACATACATCACAGCTTCAGAATAACAATACAAATACTGTCTCCACCATCACAGTTATTGAAGCAGTTAATTCTTCTCTAGCTCATGTTCTTTAAATTCTCCTGTATCATATTTTATAATTATACCATATCTATGTTGTCAAAGAGTACATCCATCATACACTATACTCTTTCTCTACGTTTTTTCCCCTTTTAATTTTTCCTTTCCTCATTTTGTTTTAGTTTTCAGGTAATTCTGTATTTAATACTTTTCTCTAGTTCTTAGAATATCTTTGAATCAACAGTAATTTTGGTTATCTGAAGCTTATTATTTAGTAACTTCCTCAGGAAGAGCTAATTGGAATAATATTTCCTGAGTTTCTTACATGTTAATTATATTTAGTCCGTGACCTTTATAGTGTAGATCACTTTTGCTTGATATAAAATCCTTGGCTAAATTTACTTTCTTTTGGTATCTTAAATATGTTACTACATTTTCTCCCAACATAAAATATTGCTAAGAATGTCTGATGGTAATCAATTTTTTCCCAATTATTTCATTTTGTGGCAAAATACACACAACAGAACTTACTGCTTTCATTTTTAAGTGTACAGTTCAGTGGCAAAAATAAAACTCTATACTAATTAAACAATAAGTCCTCATTTCCACCTCCCTGTAGCACTGGGCAACCACCACTTTACTTTCTGTCTTTGTAACTTTTGACTACTCTAAGTATAAGTGAAATCAGGTAGTATGTGTGGTATTTGTCTTTTTGTAACTGTTTGTTTCACTTAGCATTATGTTTTTAAGATTCATTGAACTTGTAGCATAATGTGAGAATTTCCTTCCTTCTAAGGCTGAATAGTATTTCACTGCATGTGCAGTTTACATTTTGCTTATCTTCTTTTCAACTAATGGATATTAGGGGGTAGGTTTTACTTTTTGGCGCTTATATACAGTGCCATTATAACATGAGTGTACATATGGATCTTTGAGACCTGTAAGTGATCAGCAGTCAGATATAGGTTAGGAAAAGGCAGAAAGATGGCTATTTTAAGTTGTTATGACAATGTCCAGGAATAACTCTTGAGGAAGTGAGATATAGGCATTGGCAAGACAGTAGCAGGAGAATTAAACTATGGAGCTCAAACTGGATAGAAAAAGAAGGGAAGAAAAATGGGAAAGGAAGGCAGAAGGTACAATACAGTTATGTCTAGTTTATGTGAGGAAAAAGTAAAAGACTTAGGAGCATTGGGAATAACAATGAGAGAGCTAAAGAATTGGGGGTTGAAGTCAGAGGCTGGAGTGTTTAAATTTAGGTGCTATTTTAGTAGGAGGAGCTATCTTAGTCAAGGTAGTCTCTGTGGTGCTGCCAATAATAAACCCCAACCCTCAGAGTTTACACATTAAAAGTTTAATTTTTTTATTATACATAGCCCAATGCAGATGTCTCTGGTTAGATGGTTGGGTGATACTCCTCAAAGTTGAGAATTGGAAACCTAAGCTTTTTTTTTTTTTTTTGTAAAGCTAGTGGCTCCTTGAAGTTCCTCCACTGGATTATTTTTATAATGCTCTGATCTACCCCATCCTTAATTATTGTTGTAACATACTGTTATGAGATAAGATTGGAAACACAAAGGTAATGGAATTCCTTCTTAATTATTTCATCTGGAAACAACACACATAATTTCTGCACATATTTAAGTCATGAGAACCTCTCTTATGTCATCATTTAAATGCAAATGGATCTGGGAAGTGTAGTCCCTGTTTAGAAAACTTTCCAGCAATACCCTTGTGTGATGGATGACAGAATTCAGAAGTCAACTATATTTGTTTTCAGAGCATGAGGAAAAACAAGTTCTGAGTATATGACAACAGCAAACAGGGATAGGACAGATGTCAGCTGGTTGGTGGGAGCCTCAAACAAATGGGAAACATAATGATCAACCAATGATACCATGACTTAGGGAGAGCATCAGCTCCACACCTCACATTTAAATATATGGGGTAAGAGAGAGCAAAGGGATATTCTCTCAGGAAGTTCTACTGAAGAAGGATGGAAGAGCACTTAACCCTAAGGTATAATGAAAAGGTTTGAGAAGGAAGAGAGTAATGGGATTCTGAGCCAAGGTAATAGAAGATTACAGTAGTTTAAGGATGAGACTCTGGGGAGGAAGTAGGGTAGAAGTTATGACATGTTGGGTGTTGAACAGTATAGGAGGAATGTGTGGTTAAACGGATTTATTTGGTTACATATTGCAAGACAATAAGTTCTTACAGTATTCTGGGAAGTGGTAAGTGGAGCTCAGTTCTCTTGGCGACCATGTAGGCAGGTTGTACCTCTTGGTTATTAAACTGTTTGGTAGAGAAGAAGACCAGTTTGGAAGGAGTCATTCCTGGTTTTGTTTGAGCCTGATATCTCTGGGCAATGTTAGGAATCAATGCTGATAACTTCTGGAGGGGTTCCTTCATGATGAGAGACTTTCAAGGACAGAAAGACCCACTCAGGGAGATAAAGTATGGTGAGTAGGAGTTGTAAGGCCTCTCTGCCATGTTCTTACAAATTGAAAGGATAAAATAAGGGAAATTCACAGAGAAGGCTGAGATTAACTGGTCATGGAGGATAGGAGATGGAAAGACATTGAAACCAAGGTCAGAAGGGGCAAATGATGCAAAGAAGTTAAGAAATTTGAAGCCTGAGATTCTCCATTTGATTTAGCACAAATGTGACGAACATCCCACAGCCGAAGTTTGATCCATTAAACATTAAACAGAGTTTGGAGAGAAAAGAAAATATTCATATATGATTGCATCACTCTTGTATAAACATTTTTTCCTCACTCCTTTATATGTGTTTTATATGACAATACATTTCATAAACAAAATTTTAGTTGTCGATGAATTTAATATAGAAGTGATTTTTTTGACCCACTGCATCCTGGTTCTATTTCTTTTGATCTTTTACATATGGATTTAAAATAGAAAGACATGTCTAATTACATGCTAAATCCTGTTTAAATTCAAAGATATCATACCTGCTTCATAGTTTTAGTAAAACTATAGTCATGCCTGCCATGGATTTCCCACAATATGAAATTTACTTGGATATCTTCAATAAAGCCATTATCATCAAATCTAAAAGAAAGATCAAAGACAAAAACAATAATTAGTGTGAAATAGAGGAGTTAAGAGTCCTGGCTTTCAAGTCCAATGGGCACAAGTTTGAATCCTGTCTTTATCACTTACTAGCTTTGTGATCCTGGGAGAGTTACTTAAACTCTTGAAGCCTCAGTTTATCTTATCTGTCAAATACTAGTGCCTGCTATATAGGTCTATTTTAACAGATGAATGAAATCACAGGTATTATTCAAGATAAAAAACCCTAATAATAAATTAATATAAAATTGGAGCCTTTGCTTTAGTAAGGACCATATGTTGACAAGGGTAGCTGAGACCTGCTGTCTAGGACGGGAGGTGAGGAATGGAGGGGAGAGCAAGGCAAATATCCATGAGGTCACTTAATTAAAAAAAATTGTCATTTGCCTATTACACATCAGAGAATGAAATCACAGAAATACTATGAGCACTGAGATTTGCATATTTCCCAGGAGAAACCAGCTGGAAGATGTGACTGAGTCCCAAAGGCTCAGCAGCATGGGCAAGGGGTAAGGTGGGGCTAGTCTCTACCAGCAGTAGACACCAGCACAGCTCTACATGAGCAGGATACGCCTTCCCTAATTCTGGGTCTGGGTAAATAAGCCCAGCTGGGCTTAGAATATTTTCCTGAGACTCTGAGTTTTCAAAGAGATATGGTTTTCAAAGATTTTTTCCCCCTTACTACCATGTAAATATAGGGGCTCAAGACCAAAGCTAAGGTGAAATTATTGATAAAGCCATACCTTTGCATACTAGAACTGGTGACTGTAAAAATAGTTATATGACTTCTTTCTCCATCAGTTATTGCTCATATTTCTGAAGGAAATTGTCCCCCTTACCCTTTGGGTGGAATTTTCACTTAGGATGTTGGTCTCAGGCACTACTTCTAGGCTACCGAATCTTGCAGTGTTGCCCCACTTTTTGATATAATGTCTCATTTGATAGTTCTGTGCAATTCACAGAAAATAATAGGTCCTTGACAGTGTTTCCTTTTTCCCTGTCCAAATCATCTTGGAGTTGTTGTGGCTGGCTTTCAGACCTGCTATAAATGGCTATCATTCAAGCCTGGTTATAAGAAGCAGTTATTGACCTATTCTCACAAATTGGGTGAAAAAAGTTTAAGTGTCAAAAAGTGATATCTAAGAAGCTACTTTTTATTTCCATATTAATTAGTTTTGAGAAAACATAAAGAGATGAACTCAGAAGGTCAGTACTCAAACAGGCATGACTAGCTAGGAACTGGCGTATTGGTGCTTGACTTCTTGGTGTCAGGGGGTGGGGGTCACAGAGAATTCTGAAACTCTAAGCTCTGGACTCTTTGCAGAAAAAAAACCTATGGACACACACACACACACACACATACACACACACACTTTTGTAGTTTCAGAGTTGGGTCAGGATTAGCAAAGCTTTAATTCTAGCAGCTTTTGAGGAGAAGGATTTTTGTTTCATCTTCTGAAAATCATGAGGTTCTTGACATTACGAACTGGTTGCAAAGCCACATTTTACTTAAAAAAAACAAAAAGGACTGTGGCTATGGCTTATTGATAAAGCTCTTGCCTCGAACATGTTAAGCACTGGGTTTGATCCTTGGCACCACATAAAAATAAATGAATAAAATAAAGGTATTGTGTCTATTAAATAAATAAATAAATAAATAAATAAAAATCGATTTGGACCATGTTAATTGCCAACTCTCAAAAGAGCAATGAGCTATAGTGTCATCTAGTGGCAATAATGATGCATTGCATGAGCCATAATTTCTGGGTTTATAATGATCTTTGATAATGTTTTATTTATTTCATTGAGAATACATGACAAAAGTACTTGCCAATGTAAGCATTGTTTCTGTTCATTAATGTTCATTAGTGTAAAATAGAATACTAATATAACCTGAAAAATTCAGAAATGCACAGTTTGGGATAATTTCTGACAATTGATAATTTTTCCACTACGGTAGTTCCTCTTTTGGTATTGAAGACACCTCGCTGTTGATTTACATTCATTAGATACAAACTTTGTGGATATCCCATTATATTCACTATGTCTTTTATTTTCTGTATTTGGATGCTTTAACATCTTGGACTTTGCTGACACTGGAGGGATTACCTAGCAATAAAAAAACAACCTTCCAGGAACTCTCATATTCGAGCCAAGCAATCTACACCGCATACCCCCAATCACCTCTATCCTTCAAGCTGGACGTATGATCCAACTGGAATGATTTATGTTCCCAGTGGGGTCACATTCCCAGGACTTGTTTCGCATCTTATTAGCATTTAATGGTAAATTTATTATCCTTTTATCTGTAAAATTCTGCCCAACCTTGTTCCTGAGCCATTCTCTCTTAGCCTGTGGACTAATAATTTCCCAGTGGTCACAGTTCCACTGATTCTCAAAGCTAATTAATTAATTAGCACCTGGATTTATGTCTGATGAATACCTGGTTGAATACTCTGTTTGCTTCTATGTTTTGCTATAATTCAATATATCTGGACACTAAGCTTTATTAATCTGACAGTAGTTGGCCTCTAATATTTGGTTGATTATCCTAGGAGAATTGGAAGCAAAAAGCTCTATCAATTATTTTGAGTAGCAGAGACACGAATAAGTTGTCTTTAGAAAAATGTGCTACTGCAACTCCAAAATAGTGCTGCTCCAATCATCTATTCTCAACCTCAACTTCTTCCATCATCCACATGTCCTTGACCTCTTGGAGACTGCCAGTTTCCCAATCCTCCCTGCCTCCAGTGGCAGTTCCCTCCAACACTTTTGTCACCCCCTCCTTACGCAGTCAGGATCTCAGGTTATCTGACCCCCTCTCTGACCAGCTTCCTAAATTCACTCATGTCTTCTTCCTCTTGTACTCAACATCTAAACCAAACCTTGGGTGTTATAATATGACTTCTTTAGAAAGTCAGCATCCATGGGGATTGGACCCATTTACCTCAACTGTGCCTTTTCTCATAGTAACCTTAGTAACCTTTGACATCTTCCTCAAGGCCCCTCCTCAATGCCTCCCTTTTCTCAGTTTGTAGAGGACTCTCCTTTCTACGTTATGTGAGGAAGCTGAGGCTATAGGACATGATCTTTCTCAACTCCTGCATTCTTATCTCCAAAACAGTCAGTTTTTACATTCACTTTTACTCTTTCCCCCCGCCCCCCAAGTCTTAAAGGATGAGTTTTCCCCTTTTAACCTTGATTTTTGGCTTTTGATCCTATTTCCTCAGTTTTTTCATGGGCCTTGTTCCTATAGCATATTTTAATTATGAAAATATTTCAAATATGCAGAAAACCAGAAAATAATGTAAAAATCATTACATCTCATTTCTACCCATGTTTTCTGCTTTACTTACATGCAGGGACCCATAAATCTTATGTAGTATTACTTTTTGGATTTGAAAACATACACAAATGATATTACATTATGTCTAATCTTCTCCATTCAATATTAGGCTTTGGGGTACAGCCTTTGAAATTTCTAGTCTCTTATTTTCTGTTTTTCTCAGCAGCAGCTCCCTCTTTACCTTTTAACTTGAACTACGGCATCTGATTTTCCTCTCTCACAAGCTTCCTAGTTCATAATTCTAACTAATTATATAATTTATCCATCTACTCTTTCATTAATGGGCTTTTAGGTTGTTTCCAAATTTTCCCTAATATGAAAAAATTTTCATCTATTTACAGTGAAAATATGAAAAGTCTTATATATGTAATGTCTTTCACTTTTGCCAAAATGCTTTTCAAAGTGACTGTAGTAGCTATCTAAGAGTTTTATACACTTACACAAATGTTTTAAAGCAGCTATACAGAGGAATTTCTATTGTTCTACATTCCTGGCAAAACACAGTAGAGTAAGATTTTAGTTTTTTTTTTCCATTCTGATGGATGTGAAATAGTATGTTATTTAAAAATTTCATTTTGTTTATCACTAAAAACATCTTCTTGAAAGAGTTAAGTTTGCAGGCCTTAGAAAACCAGGCTTGCAAGGTTGACCCTTAGGTGGCATCTAGGAACTTGGATTTTGGGAGGGTTCTCTCCATTCCTCTGCGGTTTATTATGTTATTTACACTTTAACAATTTATCTTTTTTACTTTGTTTATGGTATATTTAACTATAGATAAATTTTGCATTGTGGCAAAGCATAACATAAAATTTATCATTTTAAATGTTTGTAAGTGTATGGTTCAGTGACATTGAGTACATTCACATTGTTGTGTTACTATCATCACCATCCATCTCCAGAACTTTTCATTTTGCAAAATGAAATAACTAAATTACTCCCTATTCCACTTATCTAAATAACTAAATAATTCCCATTAATCAACTCCCTAGTCCACTTATCTCTCAACCCTGGCAACCATCATTATATTTTCTGTCTCTGTGAATTGACTTCTCTAAATACCGCCTATGAGTGGAATTGTACAGTATCTGTTCTTTTGTGACTGGCTCACTTCACTTAGCACAATGTCTTCGGGATTTTCTGGTGTTATTACACAGAGTCAGAATGGCAATTATCAAGAATACAAGTTACAATAAATTGTTACAAGCTGTCTGTGGGCTGTGTGTGGACTATTTTGTGCATAGTAGCCTCCTGAGGGGATAAGTCTGGGACTGGGAACTCCCTGAGGCACTCCACAGGAATTGACTGCCTGATGCAGGTGAACTTCCCCCTCAAGGTCTGCCTAAGATCCCACACAGCACCTGAGATGGGTGTGACTTGCTGAGATGTCAATCTGCTGACTGCAAGACATTAGGAAGCAAGACTCCGCGCCCTTGAAACTTTATCCCTGCCTTTGATGTACCCCATTAAATAAATCACTAGAGCTATTTTCTCTTTGTCTAGTTAAGAACCCATGTGGACTAGTGTTTGTGTTCTATTATTTGTTAGTTATTAGAGATATTAAGATTTAGGGTGGTTTCAATTCTTCTGGGCAGACTCCCGACCCCAATGAGACGCTAATAATCTTCCATACCAAAAATAAATGTTGGCAGGATGTGGGGAAAAAGTTACACTCAGACATTGCTGGTGGGACTGCAAATTGGTACAACCACTCTGGAAAGCAGAATGCAGTTTCCTCAGAAAACTTGGAAAGGAACCAACATTTGACCCAGTTATCCCACTCCTCAATATATAACCAGAGAACTTAAAATCAGCAAAATATTGATGTAAGGCTGCCATGTCAATATTTATAGCAGCTCAATTCACAATAGCCAAGCTATGGAACCAAACTAGGTGCCCTTCAACAGATGAATGGATAAAGAAAATGTGGTGTATCACCATAAAGATAAATGAAATTATGGCAGTTGCTGATAAATGGATGGAACTGGAGACTATCATGCTAAGTGAAATAAGCCAATCCATTCAAATCAAAGGCTGAATGTTCTCTCTGATATGGGGATGCTAACACACAATGAGTTGTGGGGGAGGGAAGAGTAGAATTTCACTGGATTAGACATGGGAAATGAAGGGAAGGGAGAGGGGATGGGAGTAGAAAGACAGTAGAATGAATCAAACATAACTTTCCTATATTTATATATGAATATACAACCTGTTTAACTCCACATTATATAAAACCACAGGAATGGGAAGTTATATTCCCTGTATGTATAGTATGTCAAAATATTCTTTATTGTTATGTATATCTAAAAAGAACAACAAAAAAGATTTTGTTTCAGTATATGTCAGAATTTTCTTCCCTTTTAATGCCAAATAATATCCTATTGTGTGTACATAGATCCTCCTCGACTTTTGATGTTATGTCCCAATAAACCTATGATAAGTTGAAAATATCATAAATGCATTTAAAATGCCTAATCTACTGAACATAATAGCTTAGCCTAGCCTAACTTGAATGTGATTTGAACACTTACATTAGCTTACAGTTGGGCAAAATCACCAAAATAAATCCCATTTTATAATAAAGCATTGAATATCTCATGCAATTTATTAATCACTGTACTGAAAGTGAAAATGGAATGGCTTTCTTTACTGTAGGAAAAGACTGAAATTCAAAATTGGAGGTACAGTCACTGAATGCATATTACTTTTGTACCATTGTAAAGTTAAAAATTTTAAGTCAAATTCTCATAGGTCAGAGGCTATCTGTGTATCATATTTTGCTTATCCATTCATCTATTGATGGACACTTGGGATTGCTTCCATAAAACTAACTAGAGTCAATAATGCTGCTATTTTGATGTACAAATATCTATTTGAGAACTTGTCTTTCATTACTTGGGTTAGATACCCCAAAGTGGATTTGTTGGATCATATGGTAATTCTATGTTTAACTTGATAGTTAACTTAATAATTCTTTTTTTTTCATCAGCACTTAAAAGTGCCATTCTTTTGTCACATGGCCCTATTTTAGACAAAAAGTTGGTTATCCTTCTTATCAGTGTTTTCTTGAATATAATGATTTTTTTCTTTTTTTCCTTTCCAGCAGATTCTAATGATTTTATCTTTACCTTTCATCATTTTGTCTGATGTATCTTTGTGTGGTCTTCATATTACCCTGTGTGGGGTCTACTGAGTTTCTGGGATCTGTGGGCTGATACTTTCCACTAGATTTGGGCAAATTTCAGCCAATATTTCTTAAAAATTTATTCTTTCTTATTTTCCTCCTTCTAAAAATATTTAAGGCCAACTGTTTGATATTGTCCATAGTCTGTGGAGGCACTTAATTAAACTTTTGTCCCCTGTGGTTCATTTTGAATAATTTCCATTGAGCTCCCTTTAGTTTAGTCAATATTTTTACCTGCTTTGCTCAATTTGCTATAAAACTTTTATTTTTAAATTTCAAATTCTGTATTTTTAAATCCTAACATTCTAATTTGTTTCTTTTATTTATTTATTTTTTTAGTTAGCAATTTTTTGTTGACATTCCCCATCTGTTAGGCCATACTCTGTACTTTTCCTCTGAATTCTTTAACATATTTATAATTGCTGTTTTAAAGTCCTGTTCTACTAAATATCAGTCAGTGTCTGGGTCATCTCTGGTCTGCTGCTATTGACTTTTCTAGTGATTATGGGTCATTTTTTTTGCTTCTTTGGATGATTGGTAATTTTTTATTTTGAGTAGAACATTAAAAATTATTCATGAGATGCTGGATTTTATTATTTTCTTTAAAGAGTTGTATTTCTGTTTTGGGAGCAATATAAATTAACTGGTGGATTTCTTTGATCCTAATGAAATTTACTTTTAAGCCTTGTTAGGACTTTAAAATTTTTGTTTTGTTTTGTTTTACTCTTAGCATTTTGTCCTTGGCTTAATTATCAGGTGTGGCTCTTCTGTTGTCAATGGAAAGCCCAAGGTGTTTCCCACTCCAAGGTGTTAGGATTTGAAACTTTAGTAGTTCTTTCCCAGCATCAGACAGTTGTTATCATCTCTACCTCCAAACAGTTATTTTGTGCTTGGTTCCTAAGAGCCATTCCCCATACATGCACAGTTCAAAAGTCTTGTTTCTCCCTTGAAATGATTCTCCTTTCTAAGATTTTTCATCTAAATTTATAGCTACTCTGGCAGTCCTAAACTTCAGTTTCTATCTCTTGAGTCCACGAGGACTGTCACTTTCTGTTAAAGCCATATTCTCTCAATCCTGCCAAAAAGTGGGAAGTAACCTCAGGAAAATCTTCTTTCAAGGCTAATATCCCTACCAGTTTTTGCCCTCCATCATAATTACATCACAGCATGTAATTATCACTGGGCAGAGGTTATGTTAAATAAAATCACTCTGCCGTTTCTAGAACTTGAATTCTATAAGATATTTGACTATTTTAGGCCCTTTGTTTTTTTTCATAAAAAATTTAGGGTCTGATTGTCAAATTCTGTAAAATATCCTGATAGAAATTTGCTGGAATTGCTCACCAGCCTCTTATGCTGACACTTTATGTTCTAACAGCATCATACTTGTTGAACAATAAATTTTCTTCCCTAAAATACCACTTTTGCTTGAAAGGCTTACCTAGTGGAACTTATATTACCCTTCCCATTTCTCCTCTTCCCTCCCTTGGCTCAGCTAACTTTAAGATGCAGTGATTCAGCTGAAATGCAAATTTTCTAGAACATTTTCCAGAACCCATCTCCCTTAATAGCAGGGTTAGATTCTTTTCTTTTGAGTTTCAATACCAACACCCATGCCACATCCCTTTCTATCATTCTGCTTAGCATACCAACTCATATGTTTGTCTAATTATCAGACTCTTGAATTCTGAGGTTAGAAATCCTGTACGCCTTTCAAGGGTGCTTGGCACAGTACTTGGTAAAAAATAGGTGTGTAATTGTGATGAACTGACCCAAGGAGTGTACTGTAGTGGGTGGGAGAGAACATCCAGATTTAAAACTTTTACTCCTGAGGGATTAAGCATTATGTAAGCAAGAACACAAGAACAAAATCCAGGCCTCAGTAGGAAAAAGAGTGCCTTAGGTGCCCAGGAAAAGCAGTGGTATGATTATATGTTTAGGAGAACCAAACAAAGGAAGATGACAGTTTAGCCTGAGAGTACAGAGAATTTTGACCGGATTATAGGACTATGATGTGAGAGAGAAAGAGCACAGGGTAGAAACTTAGAAGAGCTATGGGTGCAATTTGGGGGCAGGAAGATGGAAATGGGGGTGCAACATGCTAGCAGAGGCCTTCTGGATCCTAACTGGGGAGATCTCTGATAACAAAACTAAATTGGAGCACCGAATTCATTACTTCTACACCTATCCACCTTGAGAGATTCACATTGTCTTTGGCCTAAGTGGTCCTCCAAATCTGAAAGCTGTCACTAGACTTTTGATGTTTTAGACCCAGGGACTTCACTTCTGATAGCTTATCCTAATGGCATAACTGGACTAGTGTCCAAATATCCATGTACATAAACAAATATTCAACATAATTTTGTTTATAATAACAGAACATTTAGAAACGTGGTCATTTACTTCTTACATTTTTCTGTATTTTAAATTTTGTAATAGTCTGTTTAACTTTTATAGTCATAAGTCAAGAATAAAAGAACCAAATCAAGGGCAGTGGCTACAGATAAGTGGTAGAGTATGTGCTTAGCATACCCATGCCTTGAGTTCAGTTCACACATACACACACACACACACACACACACATACACACGAGTAAAGTTAGCAATAATATTTTTGAGATCTCCTCAATATGAGTACTCAAAATTCTTTCCTTACAAAGTTCCACTTATTATAAGCTTATGAGAAGAGAAGTCATGTCACCTTCACAAGGCCGTATCCAGGCAGGGGTTGCCTGGGGAGACATTTGGAGAGGATAAAGGGAGGGTTGTCTGCATGCCTGAGAAGGCTCTCAGTTCTTACCCTCTTATGTCACAGTGGCTAAACTGTAACCTCTCTCAACATGCAGAAGCCGTTTGTCCAACTTCATATAATTAATACTGAAAACCAAGTCTTGCATGAACTGAGTACTCAAAAAAGTTCATTATTACGTGCAAGAGTAATTTGTCTTGTTTTCAAACTTCTATTTTGAAATTATAAAATATGTTAAAAATTCTAATGATAAACTTACAATTGAATGAAAGGTTGAAACTCCTCTCTGGAATCAAGTCTCAATGGGCAACCATATTGTGACCAGTTATAGCTTATTTTCTAGAAAAGGAAGAGTACTTTAGTTATTGTATATATTTGACTCATTGACAAAAATTACAATTTTCTTACCAAGTTTTTAGGTGGTTTATCTCTCAGATATGACCTGCAAAAAAAAATGACATTCTTCACTATTTATTTCTCTCTCTTTTTTTAAAACATAAAAAAGTAAGACCAACACTTTGTTTAGGTAAAGAGATGTCATGAAAGTCAAATAGGTAAACATAAGCATAAACTGTTGGGTGCTTATTATGTTTCAGGTACTTTCTACACATATTAACATATTCTTGTAACAACAAAAGGTATGAATTATTGTTTTTCATTTGTATGTATGGCATCATTCTCAGAACTGTACAAAACTTGTTCAAGGCTACAAATCTTGCCTTACTACTAAGAAGTTGCATGATTATCAAGTCCATGTTCTTTGCTCTATTCCACTGCAGTTCTCTTCCCCTTTCATGAACTCAAGGGTTTATTCCTTCAAAACCACATTCTCTCACATATTTTCTGTCTTTGTCAGTCTCTAACTTGAATCACTTGTCACTTCTCACTTGCTCTATGTATCTCCAGGAGAGAGACTCAAGAAATTCCTTCCATGGTGGATATAACCTATTTCATATTCTTACTTGTCAGGTCCAGCCAGCTGCCACATAGACATTGTAAGGTGGTGCCCTCACCAACTACTACACATTTTCTCCTCATCCCTTCTACTTCACCCACTGCCTATACCAAGCATTGCAACCTAGAGCATATAAACTCCCCCACCTCTCCATCCTGTCTTGAAGTTAAATCACTTCAGGCATGCTTTGCCATTGAGGAGCCACATCCTTGGTCTTTTTTTATTTTTTATTTTGAGACAGGTTCTTACCAAGTTGACCATGCTGTCCTGGAACTTGTGATCTGCCTGTCTCAGGCTCCCAAGTCACTGGGATTATAGGCATGCGCCACCACACCCAACCCCAAATTTCACAACTTCTAAAAGATTCCTATAAGTATGTTAGAGGCTGTGGACTTCTATACTTTTGATAGACCTGTATATATTAAAAGATTATTTTTACAAAGATCTTTATTTTACAAAAGTAAAATATTTTGTTTAGTTATGTCTTCAATAAATAACATTATTAAAATATGTAAAATTAAATACAAAATATAGTATAAATTTCAGTCACTAGACTATTTGGTGTCAGGACTTTCCTGGTAAATCCTTTACTAGAATTAGAGAAAAGTGATGTTAGAAAAAAATACTCTTCTGTATCTTCCTTAAACTAGAGGGAATGATTTTGAAACTAGAGACTAAATATGAGGCTTGCTTTGTTTATCGAAATAAATTGAAGGAGGAGATTATGACTAAGTCTTTCTCTTGTATATTTCAGAGGTTAGTTATATTGTCTACATGTTTGGCTTAATACTGAAACTGACTATAAAGTATAAAGCCAAACACATAGATATTAACAGGGATTCAATGAATAAGTACTGATTATAAATTACTATTAGAACATTAATAAAAAACTCAATGCTAATGTTCCTTACTTGTCAATCACATAAGAAAAATCATGGTGAATACATTCTTTGTTCAGAAATCTAAAAAAGAAAAGAAAACAACAAAGTTGTAATATCATTCCTTATATATTTGCACAAGCATTTAATCATTTAACTCAGTGATTCTCAAACTGAAGAGTGTCATAAAATCGCCATTTACTGAATTAGAATTTCTGGGGTTAGTGTGTGGCCCTAGTATTTCTACTAAAAAACAAACATCCAGCCTCACATTGTTTCTGAAGACACTAGAATATGAAATCTACTGACCTGCTATTTATATTTGATACATGTTTATTAAAAATTTATAGAATGTGGGGGAGTGTTGGAGAGAGGTTGATTAAAGGATAGAAACTTTTAGTTAGGGGAAATAAGTTCAAGAGAGCTATTGTACAACATGGTGGGTATATTTAATAATTTATTATATTCTTGAAAAATGCTAAGAGAATGGATATAAAGTGTTTTCATCATAAAATGAAAACTATTTGAGGTAATGCCTATGTTAATTAAATTTAGCTATTCCACAAACGTACTTCGAAACATCATGTTGCATACACTAAATATATACAATTTTATCTATTTAAAAATGAGGAAAAAAAAATCCAAACAGAAAACAACAAGTCTTAGAGGATGTGGAGAAATTAGAACCCTCATACATTGCTGGCAGCAATGTAAAAAGGTACAGTCATTGTGAAAAGAGTTTGGTGGTTCCTCAATAAGTTAAACATACCACCCAACAATTCCACTTCTAGGTACATACCCAATCTAATTGAAAACAGATGTTCAAACAAAAACTTGTTCACAAATATTAATAGTAGTACTATTTACAAAAGCCAAAAGGTGGAAACATTCTGAATGTCTATGAACTGACGAATGGAAAAACAATATAAGGTATACCAATACATTGGAGTGTTAGTCAACCATGAAAGCAACTGAACCTCAAAAAATGCTAAGGAAAAGAAGCCAGGCACAAAAGGTCATATTTTATATAACATATAATATACTGCCTTTATATGAAGCATACAGATTAGGCAAATTCATACAGATTGATGGTCACCAGGGGATGGGGGAGGAGAATAAAAGTCACTGTTTACTGGGTACTGAGTTTCCTTTTGGGATGATGAAAATATTTTGGAACTAGAGTGGTGTAAACCATACAACATCATGATGATACTTAATTCCACTGAATTGTACACTTTTAAAATAGTTAAAATGATCAATGTCACATGCTGTTATGTGAATTTTATCACAATAAACAGTTACTATGCTAAAACACACATACACAGAATAATAAAAATAAATTCCTAGAAAATCTATCAAAATGATAAATTCTTTGAACTGTTTTATTTCACATATTTTTTTCTTTTAAACAGAGATTTCTAGTTGCTACCAGAGACCCCATTGTGTAGATTAGAACTTATTTCAAGGATGCACAAGATTTCTGTTTAGGGTTCATGTGAACAGAGGGCTATAATGATTATACATCTGATCACTTTAGCTGGCTGTTTCCAATGTAACTTTGAAGGAACACTAGTCACCACCATTTTTAGACAGACACTGGAGATCTTTAACACCACTCACTCTGAACCCAAATTGGAAATACTTTCTCCTTCATTGACAGATCTTCTGAAGTACCTTGGACCCTAGAAAGCCCTGGTCTCCCTTGGTAATTATGAAGGTGTAGGCTGCCTACAACCTAAGATACTCAAGCTACTTTTAGGTTCTGGAGCAGTGGATCATTGACTAAAAGATCCAGAGTAAAGTCCTGAAACCCAGATGACTTCTCCCCCGCCTCCTTTTTGCAGTCTTCTCCAGACTTGTCATCAACATCTGTTTTTTTCAAATATATTTTTGTTAAAGAACTATATCGAATAGCAGGCTTCATTGTGATATATTTGTACCTGCATATAGCAACTCTTCTTTCCCTTTCCTCTTTCCTTCCTCTAAACCCCATCCTCTCTACTGCTCTCTATTTTATTTTCACAAGATGCCCTTTCTCTCCCTTCTTTTTAGCTTCCACATATTAGAAAAAAATACGTGATCCTTGACTTTCTGAATCTGATTTATTTTACTTGAGATGGTATTCTCTAGTTTCACCCATTTTCCTATAAATGACATAATTTTGTTCTTCTTTATGGTTGTGTGTGTGTGTGTGTGTTATCACCCACATTTAAAAAATCCATTCGTCTGTTAACAGACACCTAAGGCTGTATCCATGACTTAGCCATCATGAATTGTGATGAACAAGGGTATCCATGTATTGCTGACTTTAATTCTTTTGAGTAAATACCAAGGAGTGAGATACCTGGATCATATGGTAGTTCCATTCCTAGTCTTTTGAGGAAACTTCATTCTGATTTCCATAGTGGTACTAATTTACAGTCCCACCTCTTTGTGTAAGTGTTCCTTTTTCCTCACATCCTTGCCAATGTTTATTATTTGTGTTCTTGATAATTGCCATTCTGATTGGAGTGAGATGAAATCACAGTGTAGTTTAGATTTGAGTTTCCCTAATTGCTAAAGATGTTGAAAATATTTTCATATATTTGTTGGTCATTTGTCTATTATTTTTGAGAAATATCAGTTGATTCATTTGTCCATTAGTTAATTGGTTTATTTGGGTTTTAGATGTTAAGCTTTTTTGAGTTGTTTATATATTCTCTGTCAGCAGAATAGTTGGCAAAGATTTTTTCCCATTTGGTAGGCTCTCTCTTCAGACTCTTATTTCCTTTGTTGTGCAGAAGCTTTTTAAATTGATACAATCCTATTTATTAATTCTTGGTTTTATTTTCTGAGCTTTAGGAGGTTTACTAAGAAAGGTGTTGCCTGTGCCTATATGTTGGAATGTTGACCCTATGTTTTCTTCTAGCAGTTGCAGTTTCTGGTCTTATTCGTAGGTCTTTGATTCACTTTGAATTAACTTTTGTGTGAGGTGAGATCTAGGATAGAGATCTAGTTTCTTTCTTCTACATATGGATATCCAATTTCCCCAGAACCATTTGTTAAAAAAGACTTTCTTTTCTCCAGTGTATGTTTTTGGTAACTTTGTCAAAGATCAGATAACTGTACATATGTGGGTTTGTCTCTGGGTCTTCTATTCCATTGGTCTACATAAAATTGGTAGAGTTTAGTGATTTTTATGTCTGGATGACCTATCTACTGATGAAAGAGGTGTGTTGAAATCATTCAGTATTTTTGTATTGGGGTCTATCTGAGTCTTTATGTTGAGTAGTGTTTATTTTATGTAATGAGGTGCACTGAAATTCGGGGCATAAATATTTACCATTATTATATCTTCTACTTGGATTGTACCTTTGTCTCCTCTGATTAACTTGAGTCTTTAAGTTTGCTTTCTTGGATATTAGACTTGCCACTTACTCCTGCTTGCTTTGGGGTTCTAAATATCATTTTCTATTCTTTCACTTTCAGCCTGTGACTGTCTTTGTTTCTAAGATGAATCTCTTGCAAATAATATGTAGTCTTATTTTCTTAACCTACTCTGTCAGTCGATGCCTTAATTAGAGAGGTAAGATAATTTATATTCAGTGTTATAGAGAGATGTTTATTAATTACTGCCATTTTGATTTATTTCTAATGTTTAATTCAGTCCTGTTTCTCATTTGTAATCTCAGGAATTTGTTTTTAATTTCCTTGCTGTGTAATATTTTCAAGTGGTTTTTAATTTTATTTTGAAGTGCTTGCTTAGTAGTCATGAACTCTTTTAGTTTATGCTTATCTTGGAAGGTTTTTATTTCAATTCTGAAGGACAGCTTTGCTGGATATAGCAATCTTGGTCAGTAGTTATATTCTTTCAGGCTTTGGATTGATGTGTAACAAGCCCTTCTGGATTTTTAGAGTTTGTGCTGATAAATCAGATTCTGATTGTAGAGTTGCCACTTACTCCTGCTTGCTTTAGGGTTCTAAATGTGACCTGATGTTTTTCTCTTGATGAGTTTAAAAATTCTATCCTTGTTCTCTGTATGTTAGGCATTTTAATTATAATGTGTCCTAGAGAGGTTCTTTTTTGATCTTGTCTACTTGAGCTTCTGAATGTTTCTTTTGTCTATGTGTTCACTTCATTCTCAAAGTTTGGAAATTTTTCTGTTATTATCATTTCCCTGGAAAGGTTATCCAGGCCATAAGCCTGTATCAGATTCCTTTTTGATTCCAGTAGTTCTTAAATTTATTCTCAGAATGTTGTCCCAGAGTTCTTATATGTTCTAATAAAAGATTATTATTTTCTTTATTGCCGACTGAATGTTGAAGTTCATATATCTTGACTTTAAAAAAAAAAAAAAAATATATATATATATATATATATATATATATATATATATATATATTAGTTGTAGTTGGACACAATATCTTTATGTTATTTATTTTTATGTGGTGCTGAGGATCGAACCCAGAGCCTTGAACATGCTAGACAAGTGCTCTACTGCTGAGCCACAATCCCAGCCACTATACCTTGTCTTTAATACCTGAAATTCTGTCTTTGACAAGATCTAATCTATTGTGGGACTTTAAACTTTTTGTTTTCTTGATTTATTGAGTCTTTCATTTCTAGGATTTCTGTTTGGTTCTTTTTCAGAATTTCTATCTTTTTATTGAATTTCTCTTCCACTTTATGTATTTTCTTTTTTAGTTTATTTCTTAAATCTTCTTTTATTCAATGATAATTTTAACTATCAACTTTTTGAATTCTTTGGCATTTTATCCACATTAACATCTGTGCATTCAGTTATTGAGGGGGGGAACATTATAAATTTTTGGAGGCATGTTTTCTGAGGTCCTATATTTGCACATCTGTTGAGATGTGTTCCTCTTCTTTTGTATGGGGGGGTCCCTTCGTGAACAGTTATCTCTTTATCTTAAGTCCTAGGCTTAGTGTACATTTTCACTTCAACACATCTGATCAGCATAAAGTGCTATTTTCAACCACCAATTCCACTTTTTAATTTAAGAGTAAATCATATATCAACATATGCTATAAAAATTGTTATTAATGATATCTACAACTCCATTGACCAGAGAGAAAAGTGGGAGAGAAATAATTTAGAACAGATTGAGAGGATTAAGCATTAATGATAGTATACAAAACTGAATTGGAGGAAGGTCTAAAGAAAAAGGAAAAGAAGGAAAAAAAGCCGGTATGAGAGGGAATCCAGTTAATTGACAAAATACATAAAATTAGAACTTTGATAATACATAAGATGTGGAAGTCACTGTGGAATCAGTTACTATCAAGCAGTTAATGCAATCTCTGTCATACATAGTGATGTAGGACAGGTGAGGCTGAACACCAAGGAATCAGCAGGAAGCAGGTTTATTGACTGCAGCTGGTCCAGAGGGGGGAGTTTTCGCCTAAATCAATTCATCCCTCTACACCAGAAATTTTTAGAACTTCATACCTAGTGTGTGTGTGTGTGTGTGTGTGTGTGTGTGTGTGTGTGGTGTGGTGGGGTTCAGAGGCTCGCAATTTGCAGAAGTCTACATTATAAGATCCTTGCTTAGCATCTGGATGGCCATCTTAAGGAAAAAGTTTCGCTTTCCCACCCAAGGGTGTTTCTGAGAAAGGCTCACCACTCCCTCATACCAATCCAACCCTTAACTACCACATTAGGACCCACCTGACTCTGATTCCTGAGCCTCCCCATAAAAGTCCCAGAACTCAAGCCTGTTTTGCCTCTCTCTCCTATAGAGAGATGTTCTTTATTTGTCAGTTCTGACAAATAAACTCTCATGTATATCTCTGCCTGGTCTCTATCTTTCATTTCTAGCTTACCCGGCTCTCTTCCTGGCTTTCCCTCCCTTCATAAATAAAAGTAGGTTTTTTTTTTTTTTTTTTTTACTGTAGTGGGTAACTAACCCAGGCCTGAATACAAAAAAAAACCAAGGACACTCTGCAAAAATTAGTGCTTGGGAAAGGGAGGGTTTCCCCGACCCCATAGCTGGTTTTCAAGGAACCTAATTAGCACCATCACTCTTACCTTTTAGATTGTAAAGGACTTTCCCTAGGATCTAACTACTTTCCTTTGAAGTGTAAATGCCCTTGTGAAGGCTCCAAGTCCAAGGCTAGAGGTCTCCACAGTCTCCCTTATGCATTCTGCTTTTGTAAACACACTTCCTTTAGTAAACTTTTACAAACAATCAAATCATATGTCGTGTTAGACTAGAAAACTGATGATACTAGATAGCCTACCAATGTTGTGAAAAACCAGTAAGGGGCGCTCAGAATCTGGAGTGCTGATCTCCTCTGGGGCCACAGCCAAATTTAGTTATTGCAAGATCAAGCAACATGAAATAGGAAGCCTAACCACATTTGAACTCTTTTACAGAAATTCTTGCTGATAGTCTAAGAACAATTATGATGAGGGTCTCTGAAGAAGCTTAATTAAGATTTTCTGTGAAGGAGGGGATGCCACTCAATAGATCCAGTTTTCTTCTTGTTGGAGCTTTAGATATAAAGGCCTTTGGTCCAGTATTCTGGTATATTCTGATGAGGAGACAACCTTAACAGACTAAGTTGCAGTTTTGATTTTAGAATCTTCTAACTATGAGGAATTTTGTAAGATACCCATACCATGCTGTTTTTTTTTTTTTTTGTTGTTGTTTGTTTGTTTTCCTTATTTCTGACCTAAACTAGCCAAACTTATTATCTGTATGCTGAATTCCACCCTCTTCTTTCTGGTCAATATGATAGTGGATACTTCAAAGCAGATTTCCCCCTCAGAATGGCTTTGTTATTGTGTCTGGTGGTGGGAGTGACAATCTGTCAGAGATATAAGCCAGCCCTCTCATCTGCTCCACCTATAGACCAATTTGGGTTGTGTTATGTCCCTCATTCTGGGTACTTCAGTCCATGTGCTGGGAGGAGGTGTGTGGGATGTGTCAGCTTATCCTCCAGCCCTACCTGAGCTTGGGGGAGGTGGTGTGGGGGTCACTGCTTTCCATCAGTCTCAGTTCAGCCATGCTCTTTATTCCAGAGCTCAGACTACTATTTTCAAATGCTTTTCTCCACTCTGCAGACCTACAGACTGGCAGCTGCTGTGGCTGCCCTGAGTTTCTCTCTAGTCTGTATCCTATGCCCAGACTTATTCATGGCTTACCATGAACAGTAGAGCTTAAATGACTGTATGATTGGGGTATTCAAAAAGCAAGTGTACCATAAACAAGTAAAAAAAAGAAAGAGAAAAAAAATTAAGAGTGAAATATGAAAAGCAAAGGTAGATTTCAGGGATTCTAATCTGCTGCATGGGAGGTCCGAAAAAGAGACTTTTAAGCTGTTGCAACTTCTGCTTTAACTGTCTCTGCTGGGGAGTGCCAGGATTTTCTCCAGTGCCTATTCAGTTCACCATTTCTGAATTTGTTTTCAGCTGGGATTGAGAATGTGCTGGACAGCTGTGGTGCCTGTTTTTCTTAAACTCAGTGGAAGAATTTCTTTCATCTTGTGGAAGGGGAGCTTCCCCTCCCCTACTGCACCACTGTTCTCTGGATGCTGCCACTATGTGGCTTTTATTAATTCTTGTTCTGTTCCGGAAACCAATTTCTTTGCTTTTCACCCAGCACTTTGGGTTGCCTACCAGTGTTTTCCTACAGTCTTCTACCTCACTTTGCTGCTGCAGAACTGCTATTTTAATTCAATCTTGGGGATCCTGCTACAATATTGTGGGTTCCTCTGATCCACCATCTTGCCAAATCCAACATCTGTTTTTTGAAAGAAAAAAGCTTATACCCCATGAATACTTCTGAGCTCTGCCAAAGCTACTTATAGGAATGAAAGTGTCTAAGTCTGGGGGAGGAGCATGTATACAGCCATGTGCACAGCAGAGACTGTCCCTGAATGGGCACCAGAGTTTTCATGAAATAAAATCAGTGCTGGCAGTGGGTGGAAAACTATTCTCTAGGTGATTCTGATGAACAATCAAGGTTGACAATTACTATATGGATCCTCCCAGATATAGATTGGTTCAAGCTGCTTTACATTTCACTGCAGAAGGATATCAAGGGTTTGAGAGGGAATTCTGCACGTGATGGTATAGAAATTGATTTTAGTAATACACTGCTTATAGCAGTTATTCTTGAACTATAATACTCCTCTACTATTTTTTCTGGATATTTTTCTAAAATACAAGTAGTGACCCACAGTCTGAATAAAGGCTGAACTGCTGCATTTCTAAATGATATCCAGGTGATGCCAGTGCTGGTTCATGCACCATATTCTGAGGATCAAAGATACCAACCACACCAGAACTGAGGAGGGTATAGGGTGTCTAAATCAATTAGCCTTTTTGTGTTTCCTGGGAAAGAAATTATGGTTGCAAAGGTATTAAGACATGAAGATTTAGGAAACACTCAATGAGATAGGAACTTTTAATTATCAATCCAGTAAGTCATTACTACAATTCAGTAAAAAATCAAGTGATTATTAGAATGATGGAAGAATCGGCATTCATTTTGGTTGAGAGCATGTAATTTCATAAAAATTCAGGTAAGAGTCAATGGTCCTCCACTCCTAACCAAAGGAGAGGAATCACTACAAATTGCTGCTTCCATGATATGTTTGACTTTAGTCAGATTTGTGCATACTGACCTTAATTTTCTCCCATGTGAAAGAAAAAGCTATGGTAACGGAAGACACAAAATACAGCGTGTCTCATTGTGAACCATAGTGAGGTCAACAAAATTCATTCCTTGAGATTCTCTGAAGGAACAATACTGGTGATTCTGTTCAATTGGCTCTAAAAAAATTTCCTAGGGTGGGAAGCTGAGCTTCTCTGGTAGGGATGTAAGCAACTCCCTAAAAAAATGAAGTAATAACTGGAAATGTGCTGTGGACTGAAAAGCCAAGAGAAGTAGGGGTAAAAGATAGAAACTGGCTTATTAAAAGGGAAGAAATGCTGGTAATAAAGACAAAGATTAATTCTTTTCCTTTTGTGTATGATTCAAATATAATATTTGACTTGAAAATAAGTTCAAACCAATTGGAACTGGAGACCAATGTCAGTGTTACTTTAGATTTTATTATAGACAGTCATTAGGCTAATATTATCACTAGTAATTATCGATTCAGTACACCATTTGCTTTAAAACTTAAAAGAGTAAGACAGGTCAAATGGAAATATACTTGCCCTTTCACTGCAATGAATTTATTATTATCGCAGCCAACAGCTATTTGGAACACCTAAAAATGAAGTAAGTTAGGTAGTGAGTTCAATTGTTCTGATTTACATGATCTGAGATATCACCACCACTAAAAGCAGTTACATTTTAAATTTGGAATACAGGTTGAGTACCCCTTAGCTAGAATACTTGTCACTGTAAGTGCTTTGGTTCTCTGACTTTATGGATTTTGGAATAGTTGCATGAACATAAAATATCTTGGGGGTTGGGAACCAAGTCTAACCATGAAGTGATTTTATAAAATGCTCTTATTATGCCTGCATTTTGACTGAACCCATCATGTGATATCTGGTGTGGATTTTTCTGTTCATAGTTGTCATGTTAACATTCAGAAAGTTTTGGATTTTGGAACATTTTAGATTTTAAGGTTTTAAGTTTGGGATGCTCAACCTGTTAATAACCTTTTAATTGGTCTGTTACATACTAGTCTGTGCTGTTTTCCTTCTTTTTCTTTGATCACTGTTTTTTTTTTTTTTTTTTCATCTTTATTGCTCAGAAAGCCCAAAGGTTGGTTCTCTACTTTCTTATGTTAGTATCTCAGGGAGTTGATCCCATCTCTTCTTTTACATGCAGTTCTACAACCAAGACTATCAACTCCACACTTTCAGCTTGCACTTTGACTCAGCTACCAGGTTTCTATAATTGACCTGCCTACTAATTTGACATTCTTTTCACTTTGGTAAACCAGTAATTTACCTCTCAGGGTATTGAGTAGCATCATGTAACTTGGTTATTCCTGATTTAAGCAGCACTACTCTGTATCCAGAGGAGCAGCGCCAATAGGCCAATTATTAATAAACCCTGCCTAGTTCTGTGGATATTTATCTTAAACACATTCATAACTGCTTTTTTTTTAAAGAAATGCCCATCTTTGCTCTTTCATTTTTGAAACAAACTACTTGTGGATACTATAGCATAATACATAAAAAATTAATATAGTGCCTGCCACAGGATTGTGAGATGCTTTGTTAACATAACCTATGTTTCCTATAAGTAAACTTTGGGATTCTGTGGAGAAAAGCAAGTGTAAAAATCCAACATTGGCATCATGTAGTCATGCTATACCTTGTTTCATAGACTGAAAATGCTCAAGGAAGGTATTTGATATGGAAAAGGTAATATTAAAACAAACAAATAAAACCCTACTGGAGTCTGATGTGATGAGAGAGGAGGAGGGGAGTGTGTGTGTGTGTTGAGACAGTGCTTCACTATGTTGTCCAGGCTAGTCTCAAACTCCTGAACTCAAGTGATTATCCTACAACCTCCCAAGTAGCTGGAACTGCAGGTGTGCACCCCCCACTCAACCCTGATGTATTGCACTTATGCCCAAATGCACCTCTACTATTAGTACCAACAGTTCGCAACTCCTTTTAATCAATTTGATATATTTCCAGAAAGAGCAGAGTAGAATGAATACAAAAATCAGAATTTTGTGAGGCTTTGCTGAGAAGAGAGGTTGTACCCAGCAGCTGGTACACATTATATTTAAAGTTGAAAGACTATTAATTTTCTGTCATTAGGTAAATTTCCTTAGAAACCATTCAAAATGCCAAATGACTTACCCAAAGAGTAAATGTTTAGATTTATGTTGCTTAAAAAGTAATGTACAGGTTAAGTAGTGAGACCCCATTTCAAAATAAAGAATAAAAGGCTGAGGATGCAGCTCAATGACCCCGGGTTCAATACCCAGTACCAAAAAAAAAAAAAAAAAGCTTAAAAAGACAGAAAGAAAGATTTGAGAATAAAGTGGATGAGCGCAGTGTTCTTTGGATTTACTCATAAGAACCGAAGAACTGCCAATGTTTCAGTCAGGGAGTCATGACTTTTATTATTATCCTTCAACTGAGAGACGTTTGTATTTAACCTCATAATAATTATGGCTATGCCTTGTCCTGTTTTCACTTAATTTTAATGGTCATTTTTAAAAAAAATTTTTTAGTTGTAGATGGACACAATGCCTTTATTTTATTCATTTATTTTTATGTGGTGCTGAGGATTGAACCTTCTCATGTGCTAGGCAAGCGCTCTACCACTGAGTAACAACCCTGGCCCCTCTCGATGGTCATTTTGGTCATTTATGTATTGTTTCTTTTGACCTTTCCCTACCCAATCAAAATTGTTCCCTTTCCTATGGACTATTTGATAACTGTTATACATATTCTCTACCTCTAGGGAATGCACTCTATATTTTCATCTTTATAACTCCTATTACCTAGCACACAGAGTGAAACACAGAATACAGGTATATAATAGATGTTTTTGAATGAAGAAATAATTGAATATCTTTGAATGATTAAATGCGGTATAAATATGGACATGACTGGCAGACTTCTTTGACAAACCATACCCAATTTTATTTATTCCCATTAATTTCAGTTTATCTACAAAACTTCAAAAACAAATAATTCTATACTTTTGTGTATGTTAATATATCCTACAATAGATGATAAACTCATAGAAAGCAGAAATTGTATTTTCTGCTTTCAAAGTAAAATAAGGTTCAACCATAGAGAACTTGCCTAGCACATGTGAGGTACTGGGTTCCATCCTTAGCAATACGTTAAAAAAATAAATAAATAAAATAACGGTATTGTGTCCAACTACAACTAAAAAAAAATGTGCCCCCCAAAAATAAAATAAAATAATGCTGCCTTTATAGTGAAACATTGCAAAATGTTGCTAAGTAGAGGGGAATGGTATCATTATGGAGGTAATATGTATGACTTATTGTATTACTTAGTTTACCACCTACACATTTTTGAAGTAAAGTTTTTGATCTTTAACCTTTGTCACTTACCTTTTGGGCTATTGGGCACGTTTTTGCATATTCACTAGGTCGAAGTTGAATAAGCACAATACCCATGTTCTCGTCTCTAAGAAAAACAATCCATGCAAGTTATTAAGAATCACGAGTGTAGTGACATGACTCTGTCTCTCTGTAGAGCAAATGCAAAGTCCCATGTACATGATGTGACTGAACCTCCTTACAGCCTGGAGGGTGGTGCCAGTGGTAACTGGTGGCTGCTTCTGTGCAGGCAGCTCTGAAATGTGGTCATATCATGAAGTGACTCCCATCTCTTGGTATAACCCATGTTATAGTCACCAGATGGTTGGTATAATGGGAAACAAATGAGAATCCTGTCAGCACTTAAAATCCCCACTCCTTATTTCATGAACGTCCCTAGACATTTGGGTTATGTGGGTGACATCTTGACCTGCCTGCTTTCGATGGTATTACAAGATGGTAGCCACTGCAGCAATTCCTCCTCTAGCCCCTATATATGTTTTCCCTTGAACTGATAACACCTTTGTGACAAAAAAGAGTATTAGCTTTCTAAATCACATTAAGTTGCCTAGTAGGATCTGACTAATACAAAGGGACATCAGATATAATGTCTTTCCTGACCATCAAGTACACACGAATATTTTGGAGTTCAGGCCAAATGTGAGGGCTCATAAATGACAGAAAATGACATTTTGAAAGATATGTTCATATCTTACCCCCTGCTAAGGGTTTACATTCCAAAATAATAATAATAATAAGGAAAAAACAAAATATCCTGGGCAGTTTGATGTGCATTCTCTGGCAACCTAATTCTCAGTAAGTATACACAGAACCAAAAACATTTGAAGGATAAAAAGAAAAGTCCAGTGGGGAAAGGGGCAAGTAATAAATTAAGCCTCTACTGAATACTGTGTCTAAGAGAGCATTTTCTTCTTATCCTTCCAAGTTACTATCTCACTATTTTGTTTTCTTTTCTTTATAATAACATTTATCAGTATTTGAAATTTGTTTTCTTTTATTTATAATAAATTATATGAATAAAAAAATTATAGGAATTACCTAATTTATTTGATGACTTTCTATTTGTCTTCTGCCACTGGAGATATGTTCCAGTGATACCAGTACTTCATCCTTGTTTACCATGTATTTTGAATACCTGGAGAGTGCTGGGTATACAGCAGGGGACTCAAACTCAATTGGAGTAGTAGTGAAATAAAGAAAAACTGACTTTTTCCTAGGGAAAAAAATTCTGTTTTTCTAGAAAATACTTTCAGGTCATAATGACAATTATAAAATGCCTTCATACAGTGCTATGCTTTGGATATACTTTACCCTTTTTTTAGATTTAGAAATTATTTTGCTAAAACTATTTTTAAAAACTTGATTGGAATTATATAATAATTATTTAGTATGAATTATTTATTTATTTAATTTGGTCATTTTCAGTACAGTATTTTCAGGAATTGGATATGGCTGTTTAATTGTTCTCCCTCCCCCAAAGTTTCATGTGATTGGTCTGTGAGCAATATTGGAAGGCACTGTGGAACTTTTAAGAGGTGGGGCCTGGTGGGAGATCCTTAGTCACTGGTGGCATGCAGTAAATCTCTTGTGAACCCTTTTTAGTTCTCCAGAAAGGATTGTTATAAAAAGAAGCCTGGTCCTCCCACCCTGCCAGCTTTCTTTGATTGTTGTTCAAGGTATAATCTCGTTGCTCCTGCATGCACTCCTACCATTGCTATCTGCTGTGGAGTGATAAAGGCAAGAGTGGCTCTTGCCAAGCCTGCTCTATGCTATTTGGACTTTCAGCTGTCAAAACTGTGAGCTAAAGAAACCTCTTCTTCATAAGTAACCTGTGTCAGGTATTTTGTTATAGTGATTAAAAAGCTGATTATTACACACAGAATTCCAAATTGGTTGTCATTCTCCAGACATTAAGTGCTTTGGCTACCTTGTCTAAGAGTCAAAGATGGTGTTTTATCTGACTTCATTTATAATTAAAAAGACTTTGTGATAATTAGAGTTCCAGTTTTTGCTTGAGGATAGTATATAGAGATTTTGAGATGGGAATTAATGATAAACATGCTTAAAAGTTATTGAACTACAAAATAACCTTGCTGTAGTTTGGTCAAGTATCCTGTTTCAGTTAGCTTTTTCGCTGCTGTGACTAAATGACCTAACCAGCACAACTGTAGCAGAGGAAGCATTTATTTGAGGGCTCATGGTTTCAGAGGTCTCAATTTATTGACAGCTGCCTCCATTCCTCAGGACTCCAGGTGAGACAGAAACAACATGGTGGAAGAGTGTGGCAGAGGGAAGCGGCTTATGTGGTGATCAGGAAGCAGAAAGAGTCCACTTGCCAGATATAAATATATACCCAAAGTCTCATCCCAATTCCCACCTCCTCCAGCCACACCCTACCCCTTCAATTACCACTCAGTTAATCCCTATCAATAAGGGCATTAAACCACTGATTGGGTTAAGATTCTTACAACCCAATCAATACTCCTCTGAACCTTCTTTCACTGTCTCACATGTGAGTACCGCACACCCAAACCATAACATATCTCTCAAAGGACCATGTGTTAACAGGCTTGGTCCCCAAAAAGACACTATTTGGAGGTAGTGGACCTTTAGAAAATCAACCTTTATGGGAGGTCCCTAGGACATGAGGGGCATTTTCAAGGGGGTGCCCTGATTTCTTTGTTGCCTAGCTCATGTGGTAAGAGGTTTGTTTTACCACATGCTCCTGCCATGATATACTGCATGCTAGAGTCTCAAAAGCAATGAGGTCATTCCATCACAGACTTGAAATATACCTTTTCTTTTTGTGAGTTAATTGCCTCAGGTATTTTGTTACAAATAAAAAGCTGACTAATACAAGTCTGTTTTATTCATTTCACTAGAGCAAATGAGAACCTTCCATTGAACTACAAGGAATATTCCATATTTTCATGCAGCTAAATACTCATTTTATATACATATCTAGACTTTTAAAGGAAATTTAGTATTTTAAAGGATATGAGGTCATTTAAATAAAGTAATATCTATAATCCAAGTAATATGTCTAAAAGTTCTTTAAAAAGTCATACTTACTGAAGCTTGTGGTAATCATCTACTGCCTCATAATTTACACTCTGAGAAAAGGTTATTGCCTAAAAAAGAAAATTTAAGTTTATGTAAAGCAGAAAAATTGGGGATTGGGATCCTACTTTAGTAGCATTTTGTCTCCACATCCATGTATGACAATATATACTTTCAAGATATACTTAAATCTTTCTTTAAAAAAGAAAAATGATATACTTAACATTTTTTTCAAATTTCTTTTCCACTTCACAAATTCTAATTAGGTACACCTTAATCAACCTAGTTACATTTTTGTTATTTTCCCTTTTAATTTTTTATTATCTTAGTTTTTTATTTATATATCTTCTATCCCCCTCCTCATTTGAATTTTCTCTTATTTTTATTTTTCATTCATTTCTGGAGCTTAGAAAACTTTAATTTTTCATCTGTTTTCTAATAATCTTGTCTCTGAAGCATTTCTTCTTTGAGTTGGTTGTTTATCCTGTCTGTAGTTTGCTGTGTAATTATTTGCCTGATACTTTCCTCTGTTGTTTTTGAGTAGTTTTTACAATGTTAATCTGCCTTTTGCATATATTCTTGCTGTTTTCTTCCCTCTGGATTATGTTTCATTTTAATTTTTAGCATTCCATAAGGTGGTTGTTGGCTCAGCATAAAAAAAACATTTACAGAATATACATTATAGTAGAGGCAAAAAATAATAAGCCATACATTTCTAAAGTATATTAAGGGAAATAGTTATATCCCTATATTGCTTTTTGGTAAGTAACCTTACAAAAATGCTCTTGCTTATAATTAGGCACCAAAAATTTTATGTTGTCTTTAGTGAAATGTAGTTATAGTTTCCAAGCTTTGATTATTCTTGTCATTTAAATTATGCTCAACAGGGAGCAAGGTTGGTATAATCTATGGAAATCAATAAATGTAATTCACCACATCAATAGACTTAAATATAAGAATCACATGATTATCTCAAGGGATGCAGAAAGAGCATTTCACAAAATACAGCATCCATTCATGCTCAAAACACTAGAAAAACTAGGAATAATAGGAACATGCCTCAAGAGTGTAAAAGCTATATATGCTAAACCCAAGGCTAACATTATTCTAAATGGAGAAAAACTGAAGGCATTCCCTCTCAAACTGGAACAAGACAGGGATACCCTCTTTCACCACTTCTGTTCAACATAGTCCTGGAAACTCTACCCAGAGCAATTACACAGGATAAAGAAATTAAAGGGATACAAATAGGAAAAGAAGAACTCAAACTACCCCTATTTGCTAAGAACATAATTCCATATTTAGAAGACCCCAAAAAACTCTATCAGAAAACTTCTGGAACTCATAAATAAATTCAGTAAAGTAGCAGGTTATAAAATTAACACCTATAAATCAATTGCATTCCTATAAATCACTGATAAGTCAACTGGAGGAGAAATTAGGAAAACTATCCCATTCACAATAACCGAAAAAAAAAAAATACTTGGAAATCAATCTAACAAAAGAGGTGAAAAACCTGTACAATGAAAACTACAGAACACTAAAGAAAGAAATTGAAGAAGACCTTAGAAGATGGAAAGATCTCCTATGTTCTTGGTTAGGCAGAATTAACATTGTCAAAATGGCCATATTTTCAAAAGCACTATACAGATTTAATGCAGTTCCTATTAAAATTCCAATGTAGTTCTTCATAGAAATAGAAAGCAACCACAAAATTCACCTGGAAAAATAAGAGGCCCAGAATAGCCAAAGCAATACTCAGTAACATATGTGAAGCAAGAGGCATTACAACACCATCTCTTAAATTACACTACAAAGCTATAGTAACAAAAACAGCATGGTATTGCCAACAAAACAGACAAGAAGACCAATGGAACAGACTAGAAGATACAGAGACAAACTCACATAAATACAGTTATCTCGTACTAGACAAAGGCACCATAACCATACATTGGAGAAAAGATAGTCATTTCAGCAAATGATGCTGGGAAAATTGGAAATCTATATGTAGCAAAATAAAATTAAACCCCTAATGAAATTAAATCACAAAACTTGACTCAAAGACCAGAGACCATGCACCTACTAGAAGAAAAAGTAGGCCCAAAGCCCCATCATATCAGCTTAGAAACCAAATTCCTCAATAAGACTCCTAAAGCACAGGAAGCAAAATTAAGAACCAATAAATGGGATAAGACTCCTAAAGCACAGGAAGCAAAATTAAGAACTAATAAAAAGCTTCTTCGTAGCAAAGGAAATAACCAAGAGTGTGAGGAGAGAGCCTATAGAATGGGAAAATACAGATACAGATACAGCATTCATCTCCAGGATATATAAAGAACTCAAAAAACTTAACAGACACACACACACACAAACACACACACACACACATACAAAAAGCAACAACAAAAAAAACCCCAAACAAAACCCCCCTCCCACAACTAAAAAAACACCAAAGAACCCAATTGATAAATGGGCAAAGGAACTAAACAGGCTCTTCACAGAAGAAGAAAAAGCGAAAAAAAAAAAAAAAGAGAGAGAGAAAAATTATGCTCAAATTTGGGTTGGCAATTCAACCTACATATATGCATATTATTTTACATAATAAACACTGAAAATATATCTACATTATGGTACTATTTAAAAATACATTCTATGAATGCAATCCTCTACTTAAAAACCAAAGAATTATAAATAATGAAGAAATGGTTTTGCAGAAATAAATGACAAAATTGAAAATATCTGCACTGGGGCTGGGGTTATAGCTTAGTAGTAGAGTGCTTGCCTAGCACATGCAAGGTCCTGGATTCGATCTTCAGCACCACATAAAAATAAGTAAATAAAATCAAGATATTAAAAAAAAAGAAAAAGAAAATATCTGCACTTTGGAAGAAACTATAAAATATGACAGTGTATTTTATTTTAAAACAATAAATAAATCTTTTAATAGTTAAAAATAATCAAATTGAGTATGCAACTATAATTTTAATAAACAAATAATTTTTTAAATTACAGAATGGGAAAATATCTTTGCCACCTGCACCTCAGATACAGCATTAATCTCCAGGATATATAAAGAACTCAAAAAAACTTAACACACAGAAGATTAGGCATAATCAAATTAAGTAAAACAGCAGCAACAAAAAAATAGCTCTAAAATGGGAGACTGATAGAAGAAACTATAGGAATACATTCTAGAGAGAGGAAAGGATGAACAATATAGAAAGAGAGTTAAAGGCTCGTGGGAAATTGATTGAGGAAGTTTAACATGACTAACTGATATTATAGAAGAGAAGAAGAAGGACAAAGAGGTATAGACAGTATGTGACAAGCTATCTGATGAAGATGATAATCTACATATTAAAGTAGCCCAAGAAATTCTAAGCAGTGTAAAAGCACAGAAACTCAAATCTACACACATTACAGTAAAGCTACAGAAAGCAAAGAACAAAATTTTAAAAGCTCTCTGAGGGATGAAAGTTAAGATTACAAGTGATATCTCAACAGCAGCAATGCAGGCAAAAAAAAAAATGATATTTTTAATGTGCTCTATAGTCATAAAAATGTTTTTCAAGAATGAAGATGTCTTCAGACAAAAAAATATTGAGTATTTAATCACAAATAGCTGCTCACTATGTACCTAAAGCAAAAGAAAAGAAATACAGGATGGGGGCACAATTTTTTTTAAAGACAAAGATAGGGTAAATACATACTGCTGTGTAAAATTATAATAAAATTATCTACTAGTATAAAAATAAAGTAGGATTAAAATCTATGACTATGATAACATGAGTTTGGGAAAGAGTAAAATATTTAAATTTGGACTTGTATAAATTAAATATTTATGTCAAAATTTCTAAGGAAACCTGATTATAAATATAGAGTATGTAACTGCTAAACTAGAAGTAGGAGGAAAATGAAATGATAAAAGGTATGTAAAAAGATTGAAAAAAAAGAACATAAAATAAGTGGAAGGCAAATCACCAAATATGGCATTTATTGCAATGAATGTAAATAGATTAAATGCTATGAATAAAAGTCAAATATTTCAGATTGGATAAAAATATAAAAAAAATTAAAAATACAAATATGTGATACTTATAGGAAATATATCTAAAATATAAGACAAAAGAAAGGTTAAAATTAAAGGAAAATTTTAAATTTTAACCAGGTACAGTGGTGCATGCCTATAATCCCAGTGACTTGGAAGGCTGAGGCAAGAGAACTGCAAGTTTGAGGCCAACCTCAGCAACTCCGGGAGGCCCTGTCTGAAAAAAAAAATTCATGCATAAATATAAAATGCATTTTTGTTAATTAAGTCTCTATGAAAAGACAATTGACTATGTGAAGCAGAAATAACAGTAATGCATTGTGAAGTTCATAAAATATGTAGAAGTAAAATGTATGACATCAATAAACACTGAAAATATATGTCCATTATGACATCAATAGCACACAGGCCTTGAAAAATGGAAGTATACCATTACAAAGCTTTTAAACTATTCATGAGTGATATGATGGTTTGGAAGGTAGACAGAAGGTAAGTGAAGATGTACCATAAATTCTAAAGCAACCAACAAAACAAATAGCAATAGCTAAAATGTCTCACATAAAATATAATGGAATCATAAAAATATTAAATTAAAAAAAGAATGCAGAAAAAGTGGAAAAAGAAGAAACAAAGGGGACAGATAGAAAACAAATAGTCAAGACACATCAGCCTGCGCGGGACCCAGGCTTTACAGTAGGTCGGGGTCCATCCCCTCCACCAGCGGGGCATACACCCATCGGAGGCACAGGACCACCTGTTCAGACCAGCAGACTAACGTGGGAAGTGGGAAGCCAGGCCAAGCCCAGATCCACCCACACCAGCCTGCACAGGACCCAGGCTCACATTAGGCCTGGGTCCACCCCTCCACCTGCAGGCACCTGCCTGAGCCCAGCCTGCAGCACAGAACCACCTCTTCAAACCAGCGGGAGGTCAAGCCCAGCAGCCCAGATCTGCCCATACCAACTTGCGTAGGACCCAGGTCCAGGGTAGGTACAAGTACCTTCCCCGCTCCCACCTGGGAGCCTAAGCCTAAAACACTTGCAGCTTGGGACACTGCAGTCACCACCATAGACTTCCCCACACAGTAACCCCTAACTTTTGAACAACAGGGCCTAGAAGCAGGTGCATCTCTGAGCAGGCATCCCAAGGATAGTGTGAGGTCCACCCTTTCAGCCCCATCTCTGTAAGACATTGCTTCCATCTTCCATCTTGGGGCCCTTCAACTATTATCTCAAGTTACCTTGGCTATGGCTGCCACCACCTTTAGATTCAGTAGCATACACTGAGGGACACCAGCAGGGTCTGGAAGCCCAAAATCAAGGTGAGGTATAGACAATCTGCACAGCTACTTCAAGAAGAGAGCTAGGGTTGTGGCTCAGCAGTAGAATGCTTGCCTAGCACATGTGAGGCCCTGGGTTCAATCCTCAGCACCACATAAAAATAAAAAGAATATAGGGTAGAAACTGTAATATTTTAGATCCATACTGCAAGAAAGGAAGACACATAGACAACATGAAAAAATAAGGGAGGAAAGTGCCCCAAACAAACCAGGACACTATAATAACAGAACCCATGGACAGCGAAGTTGATGAAATGTCAGAGAAGGAGTTCAGAAGGTTCATAATTAAAATGATCTGTGAATTAAAGAATGACCTAAATGAGCAAATCCAGGCAAAAATTGATCACTCCAAAAAAAGAGATAAGTGAGCAAATACAGGTAGCAAAAGATTACTTCCAGAAAGAGATAGAAGGCTGGCGTTGTAGCTCAGTTGGAGAGTGCTTGCCTTGCATGTGTGAGGCACTGGGTTCGATCCTCAGCACCACATAAAAATAAAATATTGTGTCATCTACTATAAAAAATATTTTTAAAAAAGACATAGAGACTTTGAAAAAAATAACAGTCAGAAATCATTGAAATGAAGGGTACAATAAACCAAATAAAAAACTCAATAGAAAGCATAACCAACAGACTAGATCACTTGGAAGAAAAAACATCAGATAATGAAGACAAAGTATACAATCTGGAAAATAAAGTTGATCACACAGTGAAGAAAGTTAGAAACCATCACAGAATATCCAAGAATTATCGGACAGCATCAAAAGACCAAATCAAAGAGTTATTGGGATAGAGGAAGGCGCAGAGTTTCAAAACAAAGGAATGTACAATCTCTTCAATGAGATAATATTAGAAAATTTCCCAAGCATGAAGAACGAAATGGAAAACCAAATACAAGAGGCTTTCAGGACACCAAATGTACAAAATTACAACAGATCTATACCAAGGCACATTATAATGAAAATGCCTAGCATACAGAATAAGGATAGAATCTTAAAAGCTGCAGAAGAGAGGAATCAGATCCCATACAGGGGGAGACCAATTCATATCTCAGTAGATTTTTCAACCTAGACTTTCAAACCCAGGAGATCGTGGAACAACATATACAAAACTCTGAAGAAAATGGATTAAATGAGTATAAAATAAAATGAAAGTAGAGGTTTTCCCTGGGGAACTAAGTTGATTTCTCTGGAAGAGTTTGATAAAGCAAGTCACTGAAGCAATGGCTAGATTAGGTATGAACAAGAGCTGACGGTGGAAGAGTGGGAAAAATTATAAAAGTCTACAACTTTCACTTCTTTGTCAGTATCTTTACATGCTTTTGAAATTTTCTTTTTATCAAAGAAACTGAAATAGGAACTCAGAGATATGCATTACGAGTAATGTAAGAAAATAAATGAGGAACTTCAAAAAGACTGAGTTCAAAGAAAAAATTTTGATCCTCTATTAAAAGATAGACTAATGTGCATTCATTTATTTCAGGTAACATGAAATGTTTATGTGGTGTGTGTGTGTGTGTGTGTGTGTGTGTATAATGTCACACACACACACACACACACACATAATGATTCCCTGCTTTAACTGACTTGGGAATTAATAAAACATTCTCCATCCATTGTATTACATAAGATGTCCACTATTGGGGCTGGAGTTGTGTCTCAGTGGTAGAGTGCTTACCTAGCAAGTGTGAGGCACTGGGCTCAATTCTCAGCACCTCATGAAAACCAAACTAAATAAAATAAAGGTATTGTGCCCATCTACAACTAAATATATATATATAAAGCATAAATGTATATGCTTGAAGAAGCTGAGTCTAAGGGGGAATAGGGAAAAAAAACCTGCCACTTGAGTTATACAGTGCTTGAGAAGAAACTGAAGATGTCACCTGTTCATGTTATAACCTTAATTGGAAAAGCAGTATATAAAATAATATATACAGTATATTGATTCCTATGATGATAGATTATTTCCAAAGATGACTGAAATAATTCCCCCCATTCCTGTGTACACATCTCTTTACAGTGTAATATTGTTATTACTGTATAAGAGGTAGATTCTATTTCCCCATCTTGTGAATTAGAGCTGGCTTTGTGACTTGCTTTGACCAATAGAATGTGGTCAAACCTAGACCCCAGGAGTTCTTATACCTTTTGCTTATCTTTGAACATTGCCTTGAGACCACCACATAAAGGAGCCAGGACTGAGAAACTGTATGGAGCAGGGGACTGAGGCCTCTTAGACTAACAAGTTGGTACTAACACCAATCACATGACATTTCAGTCAGGCTGTCTTTGATCATCCAATCCTAGATGAACAACCAGATGACTAGAGCCACATGAGTGGGCCCAGATGAAACAAGCAGAACTGCTCAGCTACTCAGAGCCTAACGATTGACCTACAGAATTGAACTGGTTGTTATTGGAAGCCATTAGTTTTAAGGTGGTTGTTATACTATAATACATAACAGAACTCTACAAAAAAAGCCGGGGCGGGGCAAGCTTTGGTTTAAGTGTGTCTCCTAAAAGCTTGTTTGTTAGAAATATAATCCCCCAATTCACATTAATGTAATTTGGAGGTGAGACCTTTGGGAAGTAATTAAGATTAGATGAGCTCATGAGGATGAGACCTCCATGATGAAATTAGTATCTTTACAAGAAGAAGAGAGTTGAGCTAGCTCTGTCTTGCCATATGTTGCCCTCCACCATGTTATGATGCAGAAGAAATCCTCACCAGATGCCAGCTCCATGCTTTGCAGCTTTGGAGCCTCTAGAACTGAGAGGTACATAAATTTGTATTCTTTATGACTTACCCAGTCTCAGATATTCACCTAAAAATGGACTAAGCCAGAAATGAACCATATAAGTTACAAAAAAGAGTTTTGAAAAGAATGTTTTAAGTGGCAAGCGAGGCCTTAAATATTGAAAGTGAAAACTGTGGTTCAGAAATTGATGATTTATCACATTATAATTGATTAAAAAACACATATATGTTTCAACATTTTCCCAGCTAAATCTAGAATAAAAATCTATGTGTAAAAAATGTTAATATTATACATTTGTATTTATTACAATCAAATAAAGAAAATTAAAATATTTACTTACCAGACTTTTAGAGCAGTGTCCTAAGGCAATTTCATAATTAATGCTTTGTTTCCATTCTAATATTTTTGGGCCATATTGTTCCATTATAATATGTAGACCAAAGTTTTCTGGATAAACTATTTGAGCCCAAATGGACAGGACATTTCCCTTGTCCAAAAAGTAAAACATATGGGAAATATTATTATGAAATGCCCTGTATGGGCAGTTATCTTTTTCAAGGTGAGTTACACTTTTTACTTCCAGATCTAAGGGATATTCTTTTAATTGTACTGTGCCATCATCAAGAACATATGCAAGACATACTTGAGTAGATGTACCAATCAACAATAATGATTTTGTCGTTTTAGGTGTCCATGAATGTAGCTTTACTGCTTTTCTAATATTAATCTTGAAATAAAACATTATATTGTTTTCCATTTTTACCACAATGTTTCCATAATAATCTGAAAAAAAGAGACAAGTTTTTTTATTCTAAGCAACTATAAGTCCGTTTTATTTAAATGTACTTTTAATTAAATATTTTTTTCATAATGACTCTTTATATACTTTGAGAAAATTAGAAAGTGCAATCATGAACTTGACATTGCATTAGAGAACTTCTTTCCTAATTCTAGAAACCGTTTTTCTCCTGATATGTACTGTACCTCCAGATATGTGATAATATGCATCATTTACATAGGGGACAATATCTGGAATTAAATGTATCAAGTAATAGTAAGAGTATGGCAAGAATAGTATTATTAGGAAGGATTATGTTATAGACTGATTTGGGTTTCCCTTAAATTCATATGTTGAAGCCTTAATCCCTATTATGACTATATTTGGAGGTAGGTCCTTTAAGGTGGTAATTAAGATTAAATGAAGTCCCTTACAAGGATACAGGTCCTTGTAAGAGGAAGAGTACCCTGGGATCTCTCTCTGTGCCCACAGAGAAGAAAATCTATGTGAGGACACAGTGAGGAAGTGGCTGTTTGCAAGCTAGAATAGAGGTCTCACAGGAATCCAGTGCTGACACTACCTTGATCTCTGACTGACAGAGATGTGAGAAAATAAATTTCTGTTGTTCAAGCCACCTAGCCTACAGTATTTTGTTGGCAGCCCTAGCAGACTAATATAATTAGAGTGAAGGAATAGGAGTGAGAGTGAGTAGGAATGGTATAAAGCAAAGCCCTCCTCTATAGGGTCACTCATAGCAGGTAATAATCAACTTTCCCTCCCTTAATAGAGTGTTGTGCATAGGACAAAGCAGGTCATGGAGGGTGAGTGTCTTACCCTCTTTGGTTTTGTTGCCAAATGGGTAAGTAAAAGAATAGTTGGACTGGTTTTTCTTTCAAGATGTGACATTCTCTTGTATACCCTTTAGGGCATATCTTCTTTCAGATATGCCTCTAGAGGTGTTTTCAGAAGACACCAGAGATGACTGGTCAACAGAAGGAAGATGGATGGATCCATAGGATCAGGGATATGTTGTGCCTATGCATCTTACATTTGGAAACTAAGTCATTAACATTTTAATACATTGCAAAAAAAAATAAATTATGTCCTCATCAAAGTTACCTAATCAGAAATAGATGCAAGTGGGAGAATGACATGATATACTCTTTGTTGAATGAAAAAGTAATTGTAGAATACATACACTGTAATGATAGCTAATATTTAAAACCTCAAAATAAAACCATATATGGTTTAAGAATATATATATATATATATATATATATATATATATAAAATCCAAATTGCTTAGCAATATGGTCTCTCTAATTTTCGATGGTAGGGATTATACCCAGATCTTCATGTATGCTAAACATGCCTCTACCACTGAGGCACACCCCTAGCCTTGGTCCCTATTTATGCAGCAAGGTTTTTCTCTTGCCACTTTTTGCCCCATGCTTTATTAGTCATATTGAATTAATTTCAGTTCAACAAATCAGACATGTTCTTTCTGCCAACAGTCCTTTTTTCATGTGCTGTGTTCTCGGCTTGGAATGCTCCCTCAATCCCTCATTCAGTCAGTAACTCCATTTTTCTAGTATCTATGCTCTACCCCTTGTTTCAGTTTAGAACTCAGTTCCTCCACACCTTATTTTCTGATCCCATAAATCTTGATTAAAGGCTTTTCCTATAAGTGTTCATAGCACATTTCCTTTTGCAGATCACACTGCTGACTTAAAAATATTATTAAATAACCAAAGAAAATTAAGAATGTTTAGAAGAAAATGACATAAGAACACTATATGTAAATTCTGATGGGATGAAGAATTTATAGAGAAGTCATAGCTTTCTTCTTGTTTATAGCTTTAAATGAAGACAGAAAAAGACTAAAAACAAATACCCTAGTTATTCCACTTAAGAAGCAGCCACAGATCACCAAAATTATAAAGAGAAAGCAGATATGGAGAACTGATAATGACAATAGCTTCTGAGTCCAGGGATCAGATCACTTACCAATTTTCAGACCATGGTAAGAGTTTTGGATTTATTGAGTGAAATAGGAAGCCTAGCAAGAGGGTTTTTAAAAAAATTAATTGTCAATGGACATTATTTATTTATATGTGGTGCTGAGAATTGAACCCAGTGCTTCACACATGCTAGGCAAGTGCTCTACCAATAAGCCATAAACCCACCCCTAGTAAGAGTTTTAAGCTGAGGAATAATATGATTTAACATATACTTTAGAGTCTCACTCTGGTTTGGATGGATAATTTGGTGGAGGATGGGGATGCAAGAGACAGTGTTCACCACTGTGATGAAAATACCTGACAAGAACAACTTAGAGGAGGAAAGATTTATTTTGGTTCATAATTTCAGGGGATCCAGTCTGTGGTCAGCTAGTTCCAAGGCAGAAACATCATGGCAGGATAGCATGAAGGAGGAAATCTGCTCAGCTCGTGGCAGTTGGAAAGTGGGGGAAGTAGGGTGGGTGGGTGAGGGAAGGAGCTGGGGAGAAGATAAACCTACCCAGGGTGAGCCCACAATAGCTTACTTCCTTCAACTGGTTATACTCTCTGATATTGTATTCAGCTATTCAGGAGCTCTCATGATCCAATCATTGTCTAAAAGACTCACCTCTGAAACTGGCTGCACTGGGGTCTATGCTTACAACATGAGACTTTGGGGGACATATCACATCAAAACTGTAACATTTTGCTGTGAACCCCCCAAAGGCTCATGCCTCTCTTACAATGCAAAGTGCACTCAGTCCATCTCCAAGAATCCCTGTAAGCTTAACAATTCCAGCATTCTCAAAAATCCTAATCCAAAGTCTCCTCTGAGACTCAAGGCAAACTCTTAACTGTGAGCTCCTAAAGCAAGCTACATAAATCCAACATACAATGGCACAGAGCATACATTCCCATTCCAAAAGGGAGGGAATAGGGACATAGAAAGGAGAGATGAGACCAAATCAAGGCTGAAACCCAGCAGGACAAACAAGTCTCATATCTCTGTATCCAGCATCTGGGGCACATAGTAGTGAGATGTGGGATCCAAAGATATGAGGCAACCCCACATTTATGGCCTTGCTATTTGCAGCCCTCATGGCCTCTCTTGGCCTGGCTCTGCTCATTTCCTGCAGCTTTCTTCAGTAGATATTCCACATTCCTGGTATCTCTTAATTCCCGGTATCTCCACTGCAGCTTTGACTTTACTTTCACAGCTTCATGCATCAATCCTCTCTGGGACTTCTCATAGGGGTGCCAACCCTGACACCCATTGCTTGGTTTCCCAAACCTTCCTTTGAAATCTTGGTGGAGGCCTCCATGGCCCATAATTCCAGCATTTTGCATTTTTGCAAAATCAACACTATGTGGATGATGCAAAGGTCTACCACCAGCTCAAACAGTAGCCAGTACCCTTTGAACCATGGCTCCACTAGCCTCTGATGAAACAAATCCTGGGGAAATAATTTTCTATGCATCTCTGTGTTATCTCTTAAAACAAAACCTTTCAAATGAGTTTTCTGTTTTATGCCCTTGAGCCTATGATATGGGGCAAGGGTGGGAGGATTCCTGTTGATTCTTGAAATCCCCTCAAGGCATTTTTTCTATTGTCTCCTTGAAAAGTCCTTGGTTTCTCTTCAGTGGTGCTAATCTCTTCAACAATCACATCTTTCTTGGCCCCAATTTTATGTGCAGTTTTTTTTCTGGCCATACAGCAAATTTTTCAAATCCTTCTCTTCTGCTTTTTGCTCCTAATCCTCACAGGAAACCTGGTTAAAAGTTTTCAGAAATACCCATCCCACCACCTGAATGCTGTGATGCCTTGAAAATTTCTCAGCCAGATTAATTGTTCATCACTTTTAAAATCTGGTCTTACACAAAGTCTCAGGATATGGACAAAATGTAGATAACTTCTTTGCTAAAGACATAAATTGCCTCTATTCCTAATAGAGTCTTCCTTTCCAAATGAAACTTCACAAACACAATCTTTACTGTTCACATTCCTATTGGCATTCTGGTCTTCCAAGATTACACCAGAATAGTCCATTAAGCTCTGCTTACAACATTATAAGGCTTCTCCAACCTCCATCTGCAAACTTTTTCAAACTCCCATAAACTAGTTCCAAAATATACTACATGGTCAGGTATAGTCACAGCAATGACCCTACTTCTTGATATAAATTTCTGTGTTAGTCAGCTTTCATTGCTGTGACCAAAATACTTCAGAAGAAAATTTAAAGGAAGAAAGATTTATTTTAGCTCATGGTTTTAGAGAATTCAATCCATGATTGACAACTCCAAGATAGAAACACCATGGCAGAAGGGATGTCAGAACTTCTCAGTTCATGGTAGTCAGGAATTGGGGAGCGGGGAGGAGTTGAGGAGAGGATTGACTCCTTCAGGGCATGACCTGGGGGACTTCCTTCTTCCAAGTAGGTTACACCTCTCAGTATTCCATTTAGCTGTCAACTAATCCACTTGGTTTGAAACTTGCTACAGGGGGCACTATACTTGCAACATTCTAGATATTGCTTGATCTTGCTACGAGGGCGGGGGGACTTATTCTAGATACAAACCATAACAAATGGTAACAGAGACTTCATAAAATCTACTGCATATATGGGCTAGAAAGATGAGGATTGGACTGAGAACAGCAAAAAAAAAAAAAAAAATGGTTAGGTTTCAAATTAAATATTTAAAACAAACAAACAAACAACAACACCTTTTAGATAAATCTAACATTATTCACCAATGGATTGGCTGTGGGATGAGAAGGAGGAGAATTCAAGGATGAGGTCAAGATTTGTGGCCTACAGGACTGGAAAAATATAATTGCCATTTGCTGGATGGAGGAGGACAGTAGAAGGAGCAGGCTGAAGTTGGGATGAGGGGTCAAGAACTCATTTTTGGATATGTGAAGTTTGAGATGCCCATTTGTCATCTAAGCAAAGGTATCAGGAGGCAATTAGAAAGAGAAGTAAAGAGATCAGGCTGGGGGTCCCAGC